CAGGTCCCATAAGAAAACAGAGAATTCCAGGGAATCCTGAGCCTCTCCTTCCTGCTCTTCCCTCCATTTCTGTCCTGCTGTGATTCCTGTATGCTCAATGTGCAGCTCATAGATTTTAATTTGCGTAAAAGAAGCAAAGCTTGCATTCACAAATAGCATGTTGTAGTTGGAATATTGAGGGAAGGATTTTGTGAGCAGGTTGATGCTGTCAGACAAGCTTTATTCTTAAAAAAAAAAAAAAAACCTTTTCCTCATTTTGCACTTTCAAAAAAAAAAAAAAAGGTCCTTTTTGTGTCTGTTTATAACCCATATCAATTTTTATTTTGAAAAGTTTTCTTGTGAAACTATTTTCTATCCACTCGTGCATGATGTAACTGGTTTGCAAACGGTGAAAATGTAAGCGGTATGAAGACTAAATAAAACAAGAACTCTGACTTCACATGTAGCTTCTTTCACTTGGTTAAATCAAGTGGTCCCCTGTATGTGAATCATTGAGGCCCCACATGAGATTGCTCAAAGTCCTCTTGTGTGGTCTTATGGTGGTTAATTGGAAAGTGGCAATGAACAAGTAGAAAGGTTAAAAACTACAATAAACTCTAATTGTTTCCACAGGTGGTGATGGCCCCACACGAACCACCAGTGGTGTTCGTTGATAACTACATCAAACTTCTGGCCGATGGCAACCCAGAGACCTTCCAAAAGATTTTGGATATGAAGGCAAGTTGGGTGGTTCTACCCGTGTTTTAAATAAATCGTTGTTTATTGTGCTAGCTTGTGATAATTTGTTCCAGTGAGCTGAAAGGAGGTCTAAAATGACTAATTGTAATTTAAATCAGTCCTTAGTTGAAAGCAGTCTTTCAGTCTTTGATCATCAGTGAGAACAATGTAACATTTATTTTCACAATTTTTTTTATGGATTTATTTCATTTGAAATAAAAATCTGACTAGAGGATTTTAATAAGTGCATTGACAACTCAATCTTACCATTTATTGTTGGAGTACATTCTTGGCATTATTCTGTTGCAGCAACAAGTTGCCTAAGTGCATCTTCCATCACACATTTTACAGGAGCTTTTGATATGTCATTATATCCAGCTTTCGTAGTGTGATACAGTTAGGGCCAGAAATATTTGGACAGTGACACAGGTTTTGTTATTTTAGCTGTTGACAAAAATATGTTCAGAAATACAATTTATATATAATATGGGCTGAAAGTGCACACTCCCAGCTGCAATATGAGAGTTTCCACATCCAAATCGGAGAAAGGGTTTAGGAATCATAGCTCTGTAATGCAGAGCCTCCTCTTTTTCAAGGGACCAAAAGTAATTGGACAATGGACTCCAAAGGCTGCAAGTAAATCAAAAGGCCTTTCCCTCGTTAACCTGTAATCAAGTAAGTAGTTAAAAGGTCTGGGGTTGTTTCCAGGTGTGTGGTTTTGCATTTGGAAGCTGTTGCTGTGACCAGACAACATGCGGTCAAAGGAGCTCTCAATTGAGGTGAAGCAGAACATCCTGAGGCTGAAAAAAAGGGAAAAATCCATCAGAGAGATTGCAGACATGCTTGGAGTAGCAAAATCAACAGTCTGGTACATTCTGAGGAAAAAGGAATTGACTGGTGAGCTTGGGAACTCAAAAAGGCCTGGGCGTCCACGGAAGACAACGGTGGTGGATGATCGCCGCATACTTTCTTTGGTGAAGAAGGACCCGTTCACAACATCAACTGAGGTCCAGAACACTCTCAGAGAAGTAGGTGTATCTGTCTCTAAGTCAACAGTAAAGAGAAGACTCCATGAAAGCAAATACAAAGGGTTCACATGTAGATGCAAACCATTCATCAATTCCAAAAATAGACAGGCCAGAGTTAAATTTGCCCAAAAACACCTCAAGAAGCCAGCCCAGTTCTGGAAAAGTATTCTATGGACAGATGAGACAAAGATCAACCTGTACCAGAATGATGGGAAGAAAAAAGTTTGGAGAAGAAGGGAACGGCACATGATCCAAGGCACACCATCCTCTGTAAAACATGGTGGAGGCAACGTGATGGCATGGGCATGCATGGCTTTCAATGGCACTGGGTCACTTGTGTTTATTGATGACATAACAGCAGACAAGAGTAGCCGGATGAATTCTGAAGTGTACCGGGATATACTGTCAGCCCAGATTCAGCCAAATGCTGCAAAGTTGATCGGACGGCGCTTCACAGTACAGATGGATAATGACCCCAAGCATACAGCCAAAGCTACCCAGGGTTCATGAGAGCAAAAAGGTGGAATATTCTGCAATGGCCACGTCAATCACCAGATCTTAACCCAAGTGAGCATGCATTTCACTTGCTCAAATCCAGACTTCACGGAAAGACCCACTAACAAGCAAGACCTGAAGGCTGAAGCTGTAAAGGCCTGGCAAAGCATTAAGAAGGAGGAAACCCAGCGTTTGGTGATGTCCATGGGTTCCAGACTTAAGGCAGTGATTGCCTCCAAAGGATTCACAACAAAATATTGAGAAAAAACTTTTTGTTTGGGTTATGTTTATATGTCCAATTACTTTTGAGCTCCTAAAATGTGGAGTGTTTGTAAACAAATGTGTACAATTCCTACATTTTCTATCAGATATTTTTGTTCAACCCTTTAAATTAAACGTTACAATCTGCACTTGAATTCTGTTGTAGAGGTTTCATTTCAAATCCAATGCGGTGGCATGCAGAGCCCAACTCACAAATATTGTGTTACTGTCCAAATATTTCTGGCCCTAACTGTATGTTGAAGTCCTGTACAATTCTTGAAATTTCACTTAACATAGGTACAAGTTGAAAGTAATTGGTTAATTGGTCGGGCCATCTGCTCCGGTGCAGCCTGCAGTCGGCTGCATAAGAGTGGAAGTAGCGATTTTGTTTTTTTGTTTTTTTTTTTTTTACAAGCCACTGACATGTCTTGTTGGCATTTCAGCCTGCTGAGCAGCAGTGTGCAGCAGGAGGTGGAAGGGTCACTCTGTGCTCCACATAGATCTCGTCACTCTTTCTGGAGTCTCAATGAAGGGACTTTAAACTATATGAATAGCATGACAGACAGAGGTTAGAGGTTATAAAATCTTGCTTCACTTAAAAGTTTTTAAGTTCACCCATTTTCCCCTCCATTGCTGTTTAAACCTATGTACGCTTTTCTTTTTCTCATAAATTAACCCAGTCTGGTGGCGTAAGAGAAAGTCATGGAACTGATATTGAATGCCAGACCCACACCCTCAAGCATGCTCTGTAATTGTTTCCTTTTATATTCATTGTGTTGTTGGTGTGGGTTTGTATGGGTGTGCAGGGTCTGAAGCGCAGTGAACAAAGCAGCATGCTGGAGCTCTTCAGGCAGAGGTTACCCACTCCACCCTCTGGATCTGACAGCGGCCCATCCCTGTCCTTCAGTGCCCCCACCCCAGAGCAAGAGTCGTCTCGTATCCGCAAGCTGGAGAAGCTCATCAAAAAGAGACTGTGAAGAGACTCAGATCTTGATCATAACAGGCGCTGGTGGCGCCTTCAGGTGTTTTGCAGTTACGCATCTCAAAGACTTTATTAGACTCGATTCACTTAGAGTCGAGAGCTACAGAAAGAGGAAAAAGTTGGCTAAACTTTCTCGGTTATGAAGAAACTTCCTCAACGGTTTGTTGCTGTTGCACACGTCCTGTATTTCTGCAAATTTCCACCGTTGTTTCTGTGACACTAACGTCAATTATCTCAGATGACCTAATGTACTATTGCTGATTAAATTCTGCTCAGAGTGTCTCCTGCTGCTCTTTAATGCACCTAATCATGGATGATTCTAAGATGTTCATTAAATTTACTGTTTCTGAATATTAAGAAGAGGATGGTGTATCTTTGAATTAACTGTTTCAGCATGAAGGAGAGTGGATTGAAATATTATTTGTGTCATCTTTAAAGGAGACTTTTCTCTCAGGTGTTGATGTTGTTGAAAGAGCAGTGGCCTATAACCATCACACACATCTGATGAAGCAGATCCGACACAGATCTGCTGTTTCAGTGAGCAGACGATCACATGCGACGCCTTGCAAATTTATTCTTAGCCTTTGAACTTATTCATATTCTATCACCTTTCCTGTTTTATATTCATACATATGGTATTTAGATCAACATAAAGTAGTACATGACTGATGTGGAAGGAAAATATTAGTGCTTTACATAATTGAAAGTCTGAAAATTGTGCTGTGCCTTTGTTTGTAGCCTTCTCTGATACCCCTGGATAAAATATATTGCAATCAGTTTCTTAATGGTGTCCAGGTGTTTGTGATTTAATTTACATAAATAGCTATTGCTGGAAGGTTTGTTAAAGAATATTGACAGGAAAGGGGATGCAAATGATTGCAGGAATTTTCAGTATTTTATATGCAAATAAAACATATTACTTCCACTTCACAATTCCATACTACTTTGTGTTGGTCTATGGATTCCCAAAAACAGAAGTTAGTGGTTGTAACCTGAAAAATGTCAACATTTCACATGAGTGTGCATGCTACAGTGCACATGTGATTAAGTGCAGGTAGTTATTTGTTTATGAAACAGATCAATATTTAGAAATTTGGTTACACACGTCTGATCGGCTATCAAATAATGCATCATGTGTAAGAATCTCTGCACTACAAAATAAAACTATTCATTTACTGCACCTATTTATTTTTCTTCCAGGTTCGCCATGCTTCTTACCAATCTTGGTTTTGTACACTCCAAAACCAAGATTATTAAAACATTTGCGCTGATTCCGCCTCTCCCCCTAAATGGGTGGGTGTTATTTTACTTGCACGCTGTGCACAATACCAGGAAAGCATATCAACCTAAGCTTAATAAGGTCCAATTTCAATGTAGGTCTGGAAAAATTCCCAAATCCTGGCCTGGCCTCTTCTTGCCAATTATCTTCCGACCAATCAGCGCTTGGAAAGGCGTTCCCTTTCCTGTGTTTGTGGTTGTGGAAGCCCCCCTTCGAGGGGCCTGAAGTTTGAAGAGCAGCCGCGGGTGGCTGGTCTAACGCAGTCCCTTTGATTCCTGCACAGATGTAAATGAACGTCCCCACTGAAACTCGAGGTTTTGGCGTGAGGCTGGGGGAGTCTGGTGAGCTTTTACTGTTCAAGTGAAGAAAGTTGAAAGGCAGTGGCGCTGTTCGGAGATGGAGTCCAACCCCCGCTCAGGTTAATGATATTTCCAGCCTGTAGTCCTGGGTTCAGAACGCGAAGAAGTTTGTGCGCGAACACGAGGGACGCGAGTTCTGGAAGAGTTTCTCTGTCACAGGCGGCGTCAGCTGGATTTTTTTGCAATTTAAGACCAGAAATGGTTGGTAGCTTGGATTTGCCAAATGTAATCGACGGAGATCCTCTGGATATGAGCTGCACCAGGACTGATAGAGGACTCGATAGCCCGGACTCTGGTTTACCCCCGAGTCCGAGCCCCAGCGCCTGGCTGCAGTCTGTGGGTGCAGAGAAAGCCGGTGGTGTGAACCTGGTGTCTGAGGAAGAAGGAAGGGCCTCCCTGGTATGTAATATCTGCTGTGCTTTACAATATACCTGATGTTAGAAACTCCAGAGTTCAGATGTGGAACTTTGAAGAGCATGTTTTTGTTTTGTTTTCCCCGATCAAATATATTGTTTTATGGATCTTTTAACCAGTAGGATATACTTGCAAACTCCGGTTTACTGATCATAGTTGACATGGGCATTATTTTACAAAATGCTGTCCCACTTCTATTTTAGTACAAGATGCATGCTGCCATTTTTCTCAGATATGCTTCCAACTGCCTTTCTACAGAAAATTATGCAAAACTTTATTGATGCGCATGCCTCAGGTTGATATTTATGCATGTGGTGGATTTATAAGAATTTTCTTTTATTTCCTTTTTTTTCAGATTTCAGCTTCAACAAGTGGAAATATCCCACAACTGCAGCCTCTGTCCTTTGGGGAAGGCATATCCCTTGATTTGTTACCATCAAAAGAACTGAGGTAGGTTGACCTTATCAGAGCAAGACATAATTGGTATACATGCCGTCCAGGGCCTAATGCTGGCCTGTGGAGTGCTCTGAAAAGTACTTAAAATTTTACTGGGTAGTTTGGTGAGAAAATGTATTAGTTATAATAAAGGTTAAATTATTCATCAAATAACATTTTCATTAAAAAAAAAGACTAGAGTTGTTTCCTGCCATTTAAATTGGACTTTGCTCTTAATTTAGCTCTGATTAGCTGCTGCCCTGTAGGGGAAAATTTAAATCCATTCATACTTTATATAAACTCTGGATAACTGCTTGTGACCTTTTGGTGAAACACTGGTTCAATTGTTGATTGAAATCTGATGCTTGTTCACTAACGTTTTATCTCATCTCCAGATACACATCATTTGTGAACTATGACTCAGACCGTCACTTCATCCAAAACGTGGCCCTCCAGCCGAGGGCCCAGGGCCTCCAACACTGCCAGCAGACAATTGTGGTTTTACCGCACAGTACATGGCGTCACTACAAGACCCAGCTGGACCTCCAGCCCCACCATCAGCCCAACCGCTACAAGAGCACCACAATCATCTACCCCAAGAAAACTAGCACAGTCTACATAACGGAGCTGAACTACGACTCCCATCGACTGTCCAGGCGCTTCTTGTCCAGCGTGGAGCTGGAGGTGGCTGGGAGCAGGAGGCTGTTTCAGTGAAGGAGGAGATGAAGGGGCATCCTGTCCTGATCTGTCCACTTAAGTTGCACTGAAAGTCAGTTCAAGCTCATGTGTTTTTTTTTTTTTTTGTTTGTTTGTTTGTTTTTTTGTTTCCCATCACAAAGAGAAACATCTATAGACATGGTAATTTTTTCTCTGGCCTATTGTTTTGTTTCTAGCCCACCAGAGTTGTGGTTTCTGGGCTGGAGGTCGTCACAGTTAAACAAGCTAGGTCCTCCTCTTTGGGCTTTTTAAAATCCATCACTGAAACCTAAACATCTACCAAATGCTCTTAAATTTTAGTCTCTTATCAGATGTTTTTGTGGTCCTGCTTGATCAGAGAACGGAGCTTATTTCTGGGAGGAGGTGGATGCGTTTGCTTTGAAGCTTAATGTTGATGCTAGCGACCAACCTGCTGTTATGTTTGTGTGTCTTCCTTGTAGTCGCTATCCAAAACTGTGGATAGGAATGGATCTGCTCTGGTACAGCAAAGATGAGAATTGATTTTTACGAAGTTGGTCTTTTATGCATTTATGGCCCGGTAGGTTTATTGAAAGGACTATTAAGTGCTCCTTTATTATGTGAGAAGATTTTTTTTTTATCTAGGGACAAACTCAACTCATCTTGCACCAAGATGAGTTTTTTCCATTAGCACATCCACTATCATCTGATCAAGCACTCAAAGTATTTTAATGTCTTTAAAGATTTATTAACTTTTTAAAGATGCAACAGGGCTTTTAATTGGCCTATGTGTCAGTCTAATTAGTTTTGACATGAGAGGGCTGTTGAACAGATTACTTTGGACTTCATAGGTAATAGATGAGATCCACATAGTGTGTAGGTGAAATCCTTTTCCTAGACTTCCAGGTTCTTAATCTGTTTTTATTTGCAGAATATTTTCAATGTACGCGGCGTAGTGCAGCGCTCTTCCATCCCTTTTTATCAACATTCATCTGCACATCCAGTTCATGTGATGTAAATGCTTTGAAGATGTGTTTGTTTCCAGTGTGTAAATTTAAATTGACCCTGTAGCACAAATGGCACCGTATTTAGGTATTTACTAATAATACCATAAATCACTGGCTTACTGCATTCCACTACTAATTGTGGTGTGACTTTTTTTTCTTTTTTAATTTTTATTTATTCTGAGTGAGTTTTTAAAAACTAATTAACATGCTCTTTCCACTGTTATTCGTGTTATTTTGAAATGCCTCCTGTGCCTTATTCATTTCCATCACTTGGTTGATGTCTGAATAAAATAAACACTTATTCAATATTTGAAAGTTTGTCTTTTATTTTGAACATTGTGTGATTACTCCTAGATATTAGACATTGTCTGCATATCAATTTTAACTGATAAACCTTGTTAAACTTTTTCTATTTCAAACTTTGGGTAAGATGCTACCAAATTTGAAAAGGTTATTGATGTGATAAATCTAAATGTTTGACAAGAAATATGTTGAGGGTGAATGTGCTCCTAAAATGCGCACACACACCATAATTCCAAAATTCAGTCCTGCATAAAATTTGAAAAAAAATGAATTTATGTTTCTTTTTTGAGAAGGGGTCATTTGCTTTAACGTTTGTTTTTTAGTCCAATCTTTTCAGTCTTGTGCAACTGTAGTGCCCTCTTGTGGCTCTACCGTGAAGGTACAATGTAAGGTAATTTTCCAGCAAGGTCTGGTCTTGCGTTTTTACTTGCATAATGTGTATTTATAAGTATCAATACTATTCATATACCAGAAGTACATCATTGCTTTTGTAGGAACTATTACCTCATGGTTTTCGGATCATTTCATTTGTCATTGAAACGTTTTTAAGCACGTCTTGATTGTGCCTGTTCACCTTCGGTTCTTTCCGTTTCTGTAGGGAAAAAGGTTCCGCATAATTCATGCCCTCCTGCAATTTAAAAATGTGATGGTCTTTGTATAGAGTGCTGAAATTATATTTATTTATTCAAAGATTAGTTGACTTGGAAATTGAAGTTGATGTTACATTGTGTACTTGAGTGTTTTTATTTTTTATTTTTCCCAAATGTTTCAACTTACGGTTTTGTCTTCACGTTTCCTACATTAGCCAACTTTTTGGGAAGTACACCAGGAATTCAGATTTTTCCCTAGGGACTCTGAAGCCAGCGTGACGTCGAAGTAAAACCGAAATAAAAACGTTCGTTTTTTATTATTTCAATGTTTCTACTATCATTTGTTACTTTGGGAATCATACTAATACCAATAAAAGTAAAAAATATATATTTCAAAAACGAAGAAACTGACGTGTTGTGTGACGTTTCGGTTCAGAGGTCAAAACACACGCCCTCGTTTCCTGCCAGCGTGCGCGCGGCTCTTCAGTTGTTTTCACTTTCCACACATTTGTTTTCCCACCAATGGACGTCTGAGAGAGGATTTTCGTGCTTCGGAATAAAGCCTTCTCTTTATTACGAAACCAATTATATTAGATGTCATGTCGTAGTGTTAGTTTTTCAGTCCGTGTACTATTCTGGAAACCCGGACAGTTAGCGTGTGGCTAACAAGTTATACATGAAGAATGAAGACAGGCAGCGTTAACAGCAGCATCATGGACATGTTTGAACAGGGGAAAGTCCTGAAGATCTGCGCCCCTATGGTTCGATATTCAAAGTAAGATTTTTCTGTAGCTAGCATTGCATTAGATAACTCAGTTTGATCTCCAAAGGTTACCATTTGTGGTGTGTCTGTTGCTGCTAGTATCTGTTTCTCACAGGTTGGCGTTCAGGTCTCTAGTCAGGAAGTACAACTGTGACATCTGCTTCACCCCTATGATAGTTGCAACTGACTTTTTACGATCTGTCAAAGCCAGAGACAGCGAGTTTACCACCAACGAACGTGAGTGCTCTCACTCTAAATATCACTTATCACCTCTGTAATAACAGAGGCAGAGTAGAAATACTAAAACTGCTAAAACTTTTTTTCCGCAGGTGATCGACCCCTCATAGTGCAGTTTGCTGCCCATGATGCTCAGACCCTGGCTGATGCAGCTTGCGTGGTGGCACCTTTCTCAGATGGAGTTGACCTCAACTGTGGCTGTCCGCAGAGGTGCTGCTCATTGGGGCAAAAGCCCTGAGCCAGTCTATTTTTTCCTTCTGTTTTATTTCTATCATTTTGGGTGATTGATATCTAATGAACACAAATGTTTGCCTGTACTGATTCATGTCCAAGGGACAATTATGCACAAATGTGTTCAACTCCATGCCCTTTGAGCATATGTCTAAACCTTTCAAATTATTTGAATAGTGTATCTGGTGTGTTTTCAGGTGGGCTATGTCATCTGGTTATGGCGCATGCCTCATTAACAAGCCTGAACTTGTTAAAGACATGGTGAGACACGTCAGAAACCAGGTGGGCAATCCAAACTACACTGCTTCCATCAAGATCAGGTAAGCCCTGTAACACTTGGATAATTCATTGGTCATGTAACCTTTACAGGTCCCTGTCCCCTACAATCACAAAGCTTAATTAATTTTCTTGGGATTATATGTGATAAACAAACAGAAAGTAGTGCATCAGTCTAAACCAGAAGAGAAATGATATGTGGTCTTCAAAGTTTTATTTATTTACTTTTACAAATTGTAACTGAAACGTGTGGCATGCATTTCTAGTCAGTCTCATTTGCCCTGTTACCCCTAATTCAAATCCAGTGCAGCGAATTGCCTACATCACCCACCTAATTAGCACATAATCTGTCTGTATTTTTATTTAATCTCAGCACAAATCCAACACTTTTTGAAAGACCTCAGTTCTATAATAGCATCATGAAGAGACACACAAAACAGGTCATGGAGAAAATTGTGAACACATTTATAGCAGGATTATCTACTAAGACAAAATGAAAAACAAAATTTTTTGTCATGGATCCCAAGATTCCTGGCGGTGCCCTTTCAGGCACACTTGAACCAGAAGAATAGGCAAACATCTGAATCGTTTCATGTATAAAATTTGAAGAGGAGTTCCTCAAAAGATGTAATTGACGCAAACAGGGTTTTACAAAATGTAGATTCAAAAACTCTTCAAACATCTGTGTGAAGAAGTTAAGAAATTTGTCAACTGCTTACTTTTCCTTTCACCTGTGGTTGTGACGTGACAAAATGTGAAAACTTTCTCCACTTTAATGCTAGGTAGCAGTTTGTTTTACAGTGGTGTTCTAAAGAAACTTCTGCATCCACAGGATCCACAAGGACTTGAGGAGGACGGTGGATCTGTGTCAGAAAGCTGAATCAGCTGGTGTGTCGTGGATAACAGTCCATGGTCGTACAGCAGAGGAACGCCACCAACCAGTTCATTATGACGCCATTAAGACAATCAAGGACAGTGTATCAGTTCCTGTCATTGCCAATGGAGACATAAAGTACCTTCGTGATGTGGAGTCTACTCACCAGCTTACTGGTGTGGATGGTATGTTTGCTTGACCAGCCGTCATACATTCATGGGTGCCGACATGTTTCCTTTAGTTTCTAATGCTTTCCTTATTTGGGCCTTACTGTACAGGTGTGATGGCCGCTCGGGGCTTGCTGGCAAACCCTGCCATGTTTGCAGGATATGAGGATACTCCGCTGCAGTGTATATGGGACTGGGTGGACATTTCCCTTGAGCAGGGCACTCCATTCACATGCTTCCATCATCATCTTATCTACATGCTGGAAAGGGTCAGCTCCCAGCCTGAGAGAAAGGTGTTCAATTCCCTGTCCAGTACCTCTTCTGTAATAGAGTACCTCCAGAACACATACGGGACAGTTCAAGATATTGAAACATGAGCATTAATGAATATCATCACTTTACTTTGTAGTTTTATTTTTATGGTGAATAAAATTTTAAAGTTTTGTTTGTATTGTCTCTATTTAGGTATTTTCCTCATGTTTGTGCAAATGTTTTCTATAAATTATTTCTATTAATTTTTAGTTAATGGTGGTCTTTCAACCAGCACATTGCCCAACTCTGCAAGGACAAGCTCCCACCCTGTATGTCATGCCATGCAAATATTAAATCTTAATCACATGAAACAGACCGACTATTCTCATTTAAAGCAGGCCTTTAAATAAAGACCCGGCACTAAAAAATGTTCCCTGTACTCTGCATAGCAAAACTTGTTGATTTAAGAAAGGATAACCTATCTTTCATGGGTTTTGTGTTTACAAGAATTTACTTGCAAGACAAAGAAAATGAGTATTGACCAAATGACTGCAGAGGGTCTACATTCAAAGACTGGTTCAGATGGTTAATCTGAACCAGTCATTAAGAGTTTGAGTTCGCCACAGTAGGGTCGCGTGACCAATGACCAGCTGAGCCAATCACGTGTTAGTATGTGCTAACTTACGTACTAATTACGTACATTCAAATATTGTAGTAATTAGTTACATAGAATATTGAATGTTGGCACTTTCATTCTTTCGTCTTAAAGTAATCATTTTGAAAGCGAAGCATCTCAAATGAAATACGCTATTAACAGCTTATACATTATATAAGTATGCAGCCCACATGCAGTAATTATACACTGTGAAGCTGGCAAACTTGTTGCGTTTTTGTGTTTGCAAATGTTGACACGAAAAAGAAAAGAGATAGTGACAAAATTATCACAGAGGACCTGCATTCAAATTCTAAAAAATACTGTGATGTAGATATAAATATCTATATTTATATCCACATATATGTAGATATGTATAGCATACATGTCTACGTCATAGATTTACAGGATGTGACATAAGTTTCCATAGAAAAAAATAAACATTTTATATTGGACAACAGATTTATATAATGTTCTCTATATGATTAATGAACCTATATTATTGTATACAAATGAGCTGAAATTAGTTGATTCTAAAGTTTGGTGTCTCTTTTATTTAAAAAATGCTACAGTTTCTAAACAAAGCTTTTGTTTAAAAAAAAAAATCAAAACAAAGCAAATATGCCACTCCAAATATGGCGGACCCGCTGACGTGTCCTTTCTACGAGGCAGGGAAGCCAAAGCGTACTTATCAGTGTGATTGAGGCTGAAGCAGGAAGAGGTAGAACAGGAAGACAAACTTTACTCTATGAAGAAACTCCCCCTCAGTTTTAGCATTTTGACGATTTACTGGTAAGTAAAAGCGAAATACAACCCGAATGCTGCATTTATGCATTTAGTGCAAATATAACTTCTTTCTGTTCGTGGCGTCATTTCCTTGTTAACAGTAGCACTAGCCTAAGCAGTAAGTAGGTTAGATAGATTTGTGAGATAGGAAAACGTGGTTTCACTGCAAAAAATAGCTCATTTTAAAACACTTTGGAATTTGCTCTTATTTCATATGAAACCTTTTTTCTCATTTGTATTCGAAAGCAACACTTGCAAGTTAAAGTTCTGTGAATTGTAAACAGGGGATTTACGTTCTGTTTTCTGCAAAACTAGCTAAGATTGTGCTTTAGCACAAGAATGTGTTAAGAATGTGGTTGCCAAGATTTCCTCTTAAGCTTCCCTGTGTTTCTTTATTTTCAGAATCAAAAGATGACTTTGCAGTGGACTGCTGTGGCGCTCTTTCTCTATGCAGAGATTGTCGTCATTCTCATCCTCTGCATACCTTTCATTTCAGCCAGAAGGTAGGAATGGGAGTACCTGGATGAGATATTTTTATTTTTTTATGGCCCAAGTAGTGACATATTATTTTGAAGCACATACCTAATATTGCAATTTAGTTTTTTTGAATAGCACCAATGAAATAATTACATGCAAGTCGTGGCTTTCACTCATCTCCATGCAAAACTTCTATTTTTTTAAGTATCGAGTAAGACGAGAAAAGCAGCGCATTTATATTAAGGACATGCACTTTTAATACTGCTTTCTTGGCCATCCTCAAAATAAGCTGAATTTCAGCTGAGTACTTTCCCCTTTTAGACGTCTTTTGGTAATTGAGCATCATGTAACATCACTTTGATAAACTGTTGCAACATACGGGAATAGACATAAGTTTCAAAACAATGTTTCTTTTTTCCCCTTGCAGATGGCAGAGTATTTTCCAGCTAAGAATTTGGAGCTGGATGGCGAGGTTCTGGAACAAAGTTTTCCTCACCATGATCATAGTCCTTATTGTTCTCTTTCTTGGTAAGAGTAAATGTCTCTGGTCTGTGCCATGCTACCAACAATTTTGGTCTATATTACCTTCATATTGCACTCATAAACAAACAATCCCATACTCACGTGCATTAAAGTATTTTGATGAAATATGGAAATAATTGTGAAATTTGGAAATTTCAGCTACTGTTTATTTTAGCATTTTTTCTTGAAATGCATTAACAGTACCAAGAAGTCAGTGTTTTTCATGTATTTATTTTATTTGTTTTGGATTGTTTTTATTCTTGGAACAGATGTCTGATAAACAGAAATCTTTGGACTTTGATTCCAGAAAAAATATTTAAGTTTCTCTCTAAATATCATGTACAGATTTCCTGTTCTTTTTGTCATTCTTTAGATGCCGTACGAGAGGTCAGAAAATACTCAAGTAAAGAAATCGGCACAGATACCAAAGTGCAACCAAACATGTTTGACCACCTTCACATGAAGCTTTTCCGGGCTCAAAGGAACCTCTACATCTCTGGTTTCTCAGTTTTCCTCTGGCTGTGAGTTTCCAAATTAATGTACTCTAAACCCAATTCTTTGTTTAAAGCTGCAGGATGTAGCTTTTATAAGACAATATGTTTTTTACTTATTTGTTAACGCTATGTCCTGGCCATATAATATAATAATCAGTGAAAAAGGCAAACGCTCCCAGTCTGAAATAACCAATCAGAGCCGGGAGGAGGGTCTTAGCAATCATCCTCAAATAAGTGCTGCCATTTTGTCCCCTTATTCTCTGTTGCTGTTTTCAGGGTTATGAAGCGAATGATCACTTTAATTAATCAGCTGGCAGCCGTGTCGGGGACCACAGCTGCTCTGCAAATGCAGGCTGATGATGCTAATAAAGCAGTGGAGAAGTACACAAAGGACAATGAGCAGCTGAAAAGGGTAGGCCTCACTTATTTTTTCCAGCTACTAAAATAAAGATTTTTATTTCTTATTGTTTGCAATGTTTTTTCTTCTTTGTAGTGCTGATCTTTCTCTTTTGTCTTTCAGTTTTTTCACTCAGTTGTGTTTGAGTTTGATGTCTTTGTTTTTGTTAAAATAAGGTTTTCCTTTGATTTCAGATGCTGATGGAAGGAGTTGGTGAAAGGGCAACAGCAGAGGGCATGGAGCTGTTGAGGACAGAAGTGGACAAGCTGAAACATGAGCTGAAGTCCTCTAATGACAGTTAGTTTTCATGTCATTTCCATGTTATTTGCATGTGAAGCAGCTGTAAGCTACTTTTAAATGAGTTGAATCAACCAGTCTGTTAGGTTATAAAAAATGTAATATCTTGACCTCTTAATAAAACGCATTTAACCAGAGGAGTAAAATACACCTTTCCATTGAGTTTGTTACAATTGAACTTGTAAAGAACAGTAGATTAAAAGAAGATAATATGTTTTGGCTAAGCTAAGAGTTCATTGTGGCTAATGAAATTTAACTGCTTAATACAAATAGCCAGGAGATCAAAATCCAAAGGTTGTTATCGTAGTTTTTATACTCTGATACAACTAAGGTTCAGTATTGCCTTTTGAAGCAGGTGAATGCACAGATTTAGTTTTTATGTGTGATTGCATCTTTTGCAGCCTTGAAAAAGTCTCAGGCAGAGGCAAATGGGACAAAGAAGCAGATGGAGGGACTTGCTCGAGAGTATGAGAGACTGCTGAAGGAACATCAGGAGCTTCAGGTAATCCTAAACGTAGAAACAGCAGGACGATGCAAACGGAGGGTTTACAGTTGTCACCACACAATACACACACACTTAATGCAACACACACTTAATCTAGCAAAAATGTTATCCTGTGAGGCACATCGCAGGTTGTATTTCATTGTTGACCTGGTGCCAATGTACTATAAGTCGTATGCTTTAAGTGTTTCTGGTATAGATCAAGATAAAACATAATGGATTTAATTAAAGTGTTTTATATGTTTAACTTTGAAGCTTGAATATAATTGTATCTGGTATCATAATGCTGTTTATCATTTTTATTTTTATTTTTTTCCAGAATCGTCATGATAATGGGAACAAAAAAGACGACTAGTGGTGGTAATTAAACTTTCCCAAATCAGCAAGAAAGCCATTGCAAAATGTCACATCCATTTGATAAACCTGACAAGCAGACTTTGGACTGAGAGTTGTGATGGTTTAAAATTTGATGAATATTTTTTTTGTTGTTAATTGATGATCACTTTGTATTTCCACTCGCTGCAGTGTTACTGAAAGAATTTCTGAAAGCAATCAGCAAACACTTCATGCAGGATAAGGTGATTATTTTATCACAGAGCATGTCACAAGTTAAATTAAGTTGTGAGCTTTCTTATTCAAGCTGTTGATTCTGGTCCTTTAAACAAATTAGAGTGCTGAATGTGCTGAAAGCTAAAGACATCCAATCCTGTATTCAAAGGTTATGAAAAAAAAATGCTTTCGTTTCAAACACGTTTTTATATTACGATTGCATAATGCAGCTACCTCTTCTGCACCTCCATGTTAACATAAAGCATGCACATGCTTCTTTGTAGGTAAAGCTTAAATGTAGGGTTTGGCTTAAATGAACCATCTTCACATTTACAATGTTCTCTCTCATACAGTCATAATTCTGCCATGTAGTAGAACGTAGAAAACACCATCCTTAGCTTTCACCCATTTGTGATAAATAAATAGTATGAATGCATATAATTAAAGTCAAAATAGATTTGTGTTTTTCAAAGTGTTTGTACCCTAATGGGTTCCTAGACTTCTATAGTTGTTGCACTGCATTTCTCACTTATGGTTTACAAAACAGGAATGTATGATTATTTTATTGCGCATCTTGCCGTTATTTTGGTTAACATATGTCACTGTGATTGCTTGTTCTCCATGCTAAAGAAGTTGAGGTAGTGATTCACAGCATGGTTTGTATGACCTATCCAGGTTGTTTTCTTTTGTATAAAGACATTCAGTTGAAGTGCCTTTTTTAGCTGTGCTTTAATAAAAATAGGTTTGGTTATCATGTGCTTTGTTTGGGTTCTTTCATTCATAAACACCACCAAAACCATGATGTGATTTTTGATAATAAATGTTTATTTTTGATTGACATTTATGATATTCTTTCACATTTTGCAAAAATAAACCAGGAAATTTATTTACAATCTGGTTACTTTAATGCAGCTGAATGCCTTTTATATATTATTGGTGTACTGTTCTTCCTTCCTGTGAGCGGCTCACTCCGCGTCTGCCTTACTGAACCTGAACAACAAAACAGGCGACATGGACAAAAACACTTTCAATAGACGATGGTAAAAACCTCTGAGATGAATCTTTTGAGACATTGATAAAAACTTTTAAATGATAATTAGATTGTGTGAATAAGATTATGAGCCATACTTCCAAATCCTTGAACTCTGTTGCTTTGTAATTAGTAAAAAAAATTGACAATGTTACATTACAACCATAAAAACAACGAATCCAAACATTGACCTTGCAAAGCACCACTGTAGCATCTGATTTGGTCATTATAATCACACAAAGGTTCCTCATTGTACATAAAACATTTAAACACAGATCATACCTGCCTATAGCCATTATGCTTTCCTCTGTCTTCAAGTGGGACAAAAAAAAAAAAAACAGTTCCCACCGTTTTTTCACAATTTAATTCTACAAGACTTGTCACACAATTTTTTTTAATGCTTTTTAACATTAGTCCAAACCAACTATGACTGAAGAAAGGATGGAAATACTGTGATCCAAGAGCCCATTAGCACTTAAAGCCAATCTGCTCTGTTTTAACTAATGCTAAGCCCAAGTCTAAACAGTAGAAGCAGTGGCTCAAAATATTTTGATATTGCCTCTGATGCTTCACTTTGCAATCTATGAGTTTAAAGTTTTCAAAGTTTATGTAATAAAAACAATGAAATGGGGAGACCCATCTGAGCTTAAGCACTAAAAACCAGGACAATTTCAACAAAAGGCAAAAATCTTTGTCAACCAGATTGAGGTTACAGTGGTTTTTATTTATTTTTTTTGCCAGAACTCAAAAAGAACAAAATCAATTTTTAATTTAGTTTAATAAATTGGAAACAAATGACCACATTGGCTAAATCATTATAAGACACTGTTAAAAACATTTAAGTATTTGGTTTGGATAATACCAAACCAGAGGGATACAAGAGTAATTTTTATTACTGGTAGGAAAACAGCAGCCTACAGTGAATACATGTTTGTTAACAACTATACTTAGAAAAGAAATAAATCATTATATAGGAGAAAGAGCTTCAAATTTGTTTCCAACCTTTTGTAAACATATCTGGTCTGCATTTTACATTTATTTTGTGATTCATGGGTGCCCACAAAGTATATATATATATACGACTCTGAAAAAAATTAAGAGACCACTGTATTGAACCCCATTGGAAACCTCATGGTTGTTCCACCAAACTTTGCTTTCTGAACTCTTCCTGAGTTAAAACATGAGTATTGTTGTTTCTAAATGAATATGAACTTGTTTTCTTTACATTATTCGAGCTTTGAAAGCACTGATTTTGATCATTTCTCATTTTCTACAAATAAATACTAAATTTTTGCTTGGAATTTCAGAGACATGTTGTCAGAAGTTTATATAATAAAAAAAACAATGCTCATTTTACTCCAATATATACCTATAAAAAGTAAAATCAGAGAAATTGATTGTTTTGAGTGGTCTCAATTGTTTCCAGAACTTAATATGTATATATAGATATATAAAGTAAGTTTAGGTTACTGTTACACTTTAATCCCTGATTTTTAGTTTGACATGTCTTATAGAAGGTTACAATCATAAGGTTTGTATTTTTCAGATTTAGGACTAAAAAATAAACCAGACCTTTCCATTGTACTGGTATTATGAGTTCCATACGTTGAATTTACAAACTTAAGGCATGAAATTTAGGTGTTTTTCTATTATTATTCTTTCTAATATAAAATGTTAGGTGCATTTTCAAGTATCATTAAAACATTTAAAATACAGTTTCTAATATTACTTTGAGAGACTGTCTAATTTGCAAAAATGGCTTCTGATTATTGAGAACAAGCTTAATCTGGGAATGAAACCTGAGAGATCAGAATGATTCAGTGTTTTGGCACAAATTACCTCAATCTCACAGAAAAGTACAAAGAAAACAACTAACCAACAGAGCATATTCAACAACCACTGAAGATATAAAACATACAGAAATACTCCCATTAGTTCCACTTCACATACTTTTACTTATCCACGTGCCCCGAAAACACTCAACACGGAGAATAGCAATAACCAACTGGTGCAACACTAATCATTAAAACACAATAATTAACACATTTCTTTCTGAGAACTAGAAAGAGTTTCAGTGTGGTATATTTTCTTTAAAAAAAAAAAAGTTTTGCAGAAATGTATTGTAGAGCACACTGAGGGGATTGTGGATATTCAGATCATAATCACTTAAATTTTTTTGAGCAGATTATGTTAAAACATACAGTTTAAATTGTAGGGGTGGTGATTTTCAAAGGTTTGTTTTTCTTTGTTTATTTTTACTTCATAAGGACATAACACAGAAATACAATCGAATTAAACTTTGTAGGAGGGGGGGGGATTAAAGGCAAAGTCCATTTTGCGCGGCATTTAAAAATGTAAAAACTTTTCTATACAATTTTATAGACCAGCAGCTTAAAAGTTTCAATGGATAACTGTTCACACGTGAGTCAAGAGGACAGATGGCACACAGAGGTAACTGTTGAGTGAGTGAGGCACATAATGTGTACTTAACATGACTTCAACAGCCGCAAACCCTCAAAACACCTCCCAAGAACCCGTCAAAACCAATAAATAAAAAAAAAGAAAAAGAACATTTCTTTGAAAGCCCGCTGTGCCTCTCACTTCTAAGGCCACTTTACCTGCTTTGTTTAATGACACTGGCAACAGGGAGAACTCTCATTTAAAATAACTATCTACAGAGGCAGCTTAATAGATGCTGGTGTATGAAACAAACTGGAGTGTTGTAGTGGTGGCCTTCGCTTCCTAGTCACGTTTCCATTCTGAGCCTTGAATCCGGATTGTTTGAGAAAAACAGCAGAATGTACATTCCATGAATTTGTCAGGTGGGTTAAATTTCTGCCAGAGTCTCAACACCACACATTCAATGGTACAATTATAGATTTTATGGTCGACATGAGATAACAGAAATTGTGATTCCCTGCAAATCTTGTACGCATGTATGTATTTATATGTATATGTGGTTGTGTGTATTCACCTGTGTGTGCATCACTGGGTACATACTTTGGATATATTTTCTTATAAGTCAGACACTTGGAGTCCTTTCTGTTTCTCAGCAGTCACAGCTGGGTGTGCCTGTCTGTGCTGTTGTCCGCCGTGTGCACGGCTTGATCAGAATTCAAAACCGCAAACTCCTCTTTTCTGAGAGCTTCCAGTTCAGTCCCGCCGTTTGTTAGGGCCCCGTGTAGGACGCTTTTTTTCTCCTCCTCCTTCAGCTGTCGGCTGAGCAGGATGAAGCCCGGGATGCAAATGACGAAGGAGATAGTCCGTAGGCTCAGAGTCAGGCCCAGGTAAGCTATCCTGAGGGGGATGAAAGTGAAGTAATTAGTGTTTTACTAAAACACACCAGGGAGAAAGAGACCAGATTGTCATGATATAATGCATGTACATGATGCATCAGCAACATTTTAGAAGTTGTACAAAAAGACTTTCAGGATGAAAAAAGAAACATGAATGATTTTAAATAAGTTCTTATTGTGGAACGTGAAGTGCGGTTGTAAATTATTTTATTTTAAGTTGTGTGAACTGAAATGATTAATTTGTATGAAAAGTGAATGTGCACACCCACTACCTGTAGGCGGAGGTATTGTAGATTCTGCAAGCTCCGATGCCTCCACATCTTTTCTGGCCCCATTTTAGGCATGTGGTGTCTATAATTGCTCCAAAGTAGATGGGTGCTGGGATCCCTGCTGTGGAACCACAAGGCAATAAAAGGCGTTTAGAATGGCGTCCAAGAGAACTGAGGCAGAACTGTTCAGAATGGCTAAAGTTACTCCATAATTCAGACATTTACCTTTTATGGCATTGTAAGAAACAAGAATGAAAACGTCCTTAGGAAGGTTTAACGCCAAGTAAGGTCACCTTAAAGTGAGTGACTTTACCACTTCTTTGAAGAAAACTTACCAAGTGTACGTGTTGCCAAAGCATGAAAACCAAGTGCCAGAGATTTCAATTGTGGTTTTATGCACCTGTGTAGAGAACAATTAAGTATCTTTCAGATATAAGAACAAAAAACATTTGTAAGCAACAGAACATACAGAATATTTTTATCTTGAGTTCCAATCTAACTCATTTAACATGTTGACTGTACAAATTGGATTCAAATTGGATTTTGTCATGACATAGGTCATGACAAAATTATTGCTTTGAATTGATCTGTTCATAGTTTAAAGAAAAAAATGACACAAAGTAGTATCAATTATTTAAATTCCAGATTTTCACCAGTAATCTTCCAAAAGCTATTTAGATTTTCTGCTACAGACATTGCCATGTGACAATGGTTAAAAAAGAAGAGGCTTATGGCAAGTCTTCTTTTTTTCTTTAAAAGTTGGGAGTAAGCCAGCAGAGACTACATGGTGCATAAGATGTCATAACATGTGCCCAGATTGACACCAATTACAAATGAACAATGCAAACATTATATATTTTAAAATCTTAAGTCAAAGACCGGTAAAAAAAAAACAAAAAAAAAAAAAACACCATTTTCCTTTCAGGAATTGAAATATTAGAAAAAATATAGGATCTAGCCTTTATCAGACTCTAAAATTACTTAAGTTGAAGCTCAAGTTTGCACTTGAGCTTCAAAAATTCACAACCGGGATTGTTGTGTCATCTAAAAATTAAATAAATAAATAAAAGTAAAGCTAAAGTGAAAAGGTACTCCCCTTCTGTTCAACAGAATTGAGACAAAAATCATTTTCCCCCTGAAGGCATTAACATCTCAATAAAAGCAGAAGATTTAACAGCTTACTTGATGTGTGCTAACAAAATACATAGTAGGAAAGAAATCAAGCGTAGGTGTAGAGAAATTAAAGAGTTTCTGCAAAGGATTTCAAGACCAGTTCTAGGCCACATGGAGGTGCTCAAGTCTGTTAAATTTCCTGCTCAATATTCATTTCAGTGCCATCCTAGTTAGTTGCACTACTTTTCCATTCTTCAGCATTTATTTAAACAACAAAAAATTCCCTGAGATCATAGATCTCTCTAACAAGACTGTCCTGAAAGTCATACAGTTAAAATATCCAAATTTTTTCCTTCGAGTTGAGGACTGAACAATGTTGGGTACAACACAACTTCTACAATACAGCAAAAGAACCAGCTCTCCCATTATACTTTACATATTTTATGACCATGTCCTATATTTTTAATTGCTAAAAGCTACTAATAGTAGCAATGCACTAAAGAAAAATCATTTATATTTTAGAATTATCTGCAGATTGTATGAATCTATCTCAAACCTGACTGCTTTTCTTCCCCAATCTTTGTCGATTTACTCAATGATAGTTTTTCACAATTCAGTTCTCTTAATAATAATGTGATTCTAAACTTGAAAAGACTGCAATGTTTCGATAGATATGTTTATGTTATTGTGGTAGTTATGTTGGCTACAATTAGTCTTTTGTTGATCTTGATGGTTTTGTATAAAAACAAAACATTAAACCTATTTGAGTATTTACTGAGTGATTAAGTAAGGCTACTCTAAACCTTTTTAAAACCCACATGGAAAAAAACACTTTTCAAAAACAAAATGGTTTCCTACAACCATCATCTTACTGCTTTGATGTTAATAGAATGAAAAATACTTCTAATTAAATTAATTTGATAAACTAATCCATATGTGTGCTGACCATCTGACACATTAACGATAGGTTCTAGGTTTTAACTCACCGCAGTCTTCATAAATTCATAAGTTAAAGAATTTAATTTTAATAATTTATGTCATCCATCAAAATAGGTGAGGATAGGGTTAGGGTATAATAATAATGCAAGCCCAAAGACAAAAGGCATGTTTGAACATTGTCTGTTTTCTCTTACAGAAGTGATTATCTATTATTTTGATTACAAATAATTCAGATGATAATGATTCCTGTTTTCTTTTACGGAAAATCAGACTTGATGTTTAAATATTAAATGAAAAGAGTTTTCAGTTAACGGATTTGTGATTTTTGACAATAACTTTAAAGAAGATTATTATGTAATGTATGATAGAATGGTGTGTAAAAAATGTAGACAATAGTAGAGATTATGTTTAACTTTGGTAGAAGTACTGAGGTTGATCTAAAGGACGTGGCATTGGAGAGAGCTAGCACTGAGGCAGCTAAACAGATGTGAGCCTGGTAACAGAGTCAACCATCAAAACACATCTGTATGTGGTAAAAACAGTGACTTTTTAAAGGTTGACTTATGAGCAAACTTTGTGAAATAACACCCCTGCGGCTGTGTACAAATCACTAAATCATACCTGGCTCGCAGTCAAGAGCAAGCAGTAAAATAGAGGGAGAACAAACATTAATGGGTCTAATCTGTGAAAGCCAGTTAACTGCAGGGACACTCAGTCTGACTAATTCATGGGTGGAGCGGTGAGACATGCAGATGTGGGCAGCCAAAAGCCAGTTGATTCTTCCTCATCCTCAGTAAATCAGCAACATAGATTTTTTTCACAGATTCAGATCAGGGTAAAACTTGGCAGCAGTACTAATAATCGCAGAACCTGCTGGCTGGAGAGATGCTGAGATGTTGACCTGAGGCTTAGCTCTTCAGACAATAAAACCCCAACATTAGACGGAATCACTGTTTCTCTGCAGAGGACAATTTAGGCTTTGGTAATATCTAATCAACAGAAATATATGAGGTGCATTTATGTTAAATCAAAACTCTCATTCTAACGGAACAGAAACATATTGCTCTCCCAGTTACTAACATTTCAAATATGAATGAATCTTTTATTATTATTATTATTTATGCTGAAGTCCAGATACTTCAGTGATGTTCATATTTAAAAATAGATTAAATGTGCAGAGACAAACAACATGAAGATGTATTGCAAGTGAATGAAAGAACGATTATGAAAGTTCGTCATGAAGGTTGAATGAACAAAGCAGTTACTGGACACTGTGTACAGACTGGATGATTAAAATAATATTCTGTTGGATTTAGATTATGCCAAACAAGATACCAGGCAGAAAGTAGCTCAGTACCTCAGCAGCGGTTTGCTGCTTATTACATAATGTCATGACAAAGGCCAGATGTTCTCTTTTTCTCTGTGTGCATAATAAATAGAATGGAATAAGAGATAAATAATTGAATCGTGGTTGAACGTACCGCAAAAAAAGTGAGCCTTGAAGTAAAATAACAGCACATTTTCTGTACAATAACTGAAAATGTAACGGTACAGTGTTTTCGGTACTAAAAATATAGTGTATAATGGTATGTACTCTAATCATATTTTAATGTTTTATAACTCCTGGAAAGAAATATGTGATCACTACTCCTGAAAGGTGCTCAGTTACAAATTCTCTGATTAATACAGAAAAAAACAAACCACAGAAAGGCTGCAGATGTCATAAAAAGCATTTGAAAAATCATACAGCTTTTCTTTATGTCTTTCCTTTTCATATCAAGTAGGCTACAGAAGAAAAAAAAACAGAACTACTCAGTGCTTAAAGGTACAACAAAGCATCAAATTATTAACCCAGCAAAATTACAAACAGATCTTTTTTCGCACCTCCTCTGGCTTTCATGGCAGCTTGGGAACGTCCAGCATTTGTTGCCAAAATTTATGCTGATTTTCCTACTTCAAAAGCTGCAATTTGGAGTACTTTTTAATTCTTGTTACTAATAGCGTTCTTATTAGTGTGGCCATCTTTCGTGTAAATCAGCTCAATGTAATAGCAACTTTAACTTTTACAAGAAATATATTTTACATGCAGAAATCTGTCTGCAAAATACAATTTACTCTGATTCCATATTTATCTACTAACATTGTGTGATTCTTTTTGTTTTCCACAACACTGGGCAATAGGCAGAATACACATACTCTTCCCTAAAGACAATTTAGCAAAACCAGATAATCTAACAGTCGTGTATTTGGACTATAAGAAGAAGTCAGAATACCCAGAAAGAACCCACACATGGATCGAAAGAACATGCAAAACACCACGCAGACAGGAGTCCAGATCGGATTTAATCCCAGAACATTCTTACTGCAAGTCAACCGTGCAATCAACTGTAACCACAATTAGTAACTGTATGTGTTTCGCCATTGGACTATAAACATACAGCTGACCTGATGAGAAACATGTATCCTGGAGTCCCACCAAGCGAGATGATGAAAGAAGTTATGACAGAGAGAGCTAGGAAGTACGGAAACATCCTGTCGCAGTCCTCCTTGTTGAGGCACTGACCCGTTCCGGCCGTAAAGTTACCAGTCACACCAACACAGCTGCAATTAGAGAAGATCTGGAGAGGCACACACAGTCGCACATAAAGCAGGACAAACACGTATGTATATACATAGTCTCAAAAATACAGGATAAATAAGGATATAGAGTACAAAGCACAGCTTTCTGTTTTGTTCCTTTGAAAACCTATACTTGCAGGTAGAGATGAGTAAAATGCACCAAAAAGGTGCTCTACATGCAATACCACATAAGTAGTGTGCAAACATACTGTGTTTTTCCCCGAGCCTGTAGAAGTATTGCAGCCAGCCAGACAAGGAGAGACATAGGAGATGCCATTTTGTCCACAGACTGGGTCCCACTCACTCGATGAACAAAAGCAATCCGAGTTGCAGGGCATGAAAAGTGAGTGTTTGTCATAGGATACACTATCCGCACTGGAAGACAGAGAACAGAAAGAGGATGTTACAAACTAAACATAACAATTATTAAATTGCCAAATCAATGACACCAATGATACTAATCCATCAGTGTCAGAGTTTTTTGGAATTGTGTGTGTTTCTCTGTGCATCTTCGGCTTATCTCCAGTCAGTGGTTGCTTTTGTTTGAGCAAAATTTTCAAAGCACGCACTGCAGATAAAGCCTCAGCTTCACTGTCAGAAGACCCAGTTTACAAAAGCTTTCAAAGGACATAGTATTCTGACATTTTTGAGGAGTTTTTTTAAGCTTTTCATTTTGTGTTATAGCACAAACACACTGCATGATGAGCAGCTCAAGAGACAACACCCAGTGGCCACTGCTGAGCCAAAGGATAAAGCCATTGCAGTTCCTTTTAATTGATGAATTTACTCTATAAAGTATGACCCACCGTATTCTAAATGTAGCTGTAATAGGTTAATAGGTGTTAATGGAAACATTTAAACAGCACATAGCTGATTTGCCTAAATAAATCCAAGCCACAGAAATTAGGTTTTGTCAAAACCACAGCTCCGCATTTCACTTGAATGCTTTACCTACAACTAAGGTTAGAATTATTAGCCTCTGTAATGAGATGTATATTTTTGTTGTTTTGATATAAAGTCCAATGCTGATTGATTATTTAAGACTGGTGAGAAAGTTAATTTCGTGCTTAGGTGTGTTTTTAAAGACAAATGAATTGTCAGATTTACCTTGGAAGTACAGAAAGCAGAGAAGGACTTTTAATTTTGGCCATATCATTTTATTTATTTATTTATTTATTTTCCAAATCCACACATCAATAATATCCACTGATCAAACTTTGTGGAGATTTTCTCTTCCTTTCGGAATATCTGTAGTCCTTGTAACAGTTCAGCGCTTAGTATGAAAGTGCTTTATGATTAAAGTTATTATTTTTATCATGGTAATTTCCATGGAATTATAAAGTGTTCTGTGTGAGTTCATCAGGGAAAATGTTGGGGGGCAGCTGGGGGTTACTAATAATTCTAGTTACTCCTCTTGGGATGTAGAGTATGTGCGGACATAATTGAGACTCACTTGCTGTATGATACTGTCACTCCGGCTACTTTGGCGTTCTCACAGCTCATTGTGAAAAACAACATTGACAGGACATATCCAATCAAGGAGGTGTAAAAAGCAAACTTTGCTGCTCCCATGACGTTCAGTTTCAGCCTCTTCATCAGCAGACCACCAGAAAACATCCCCAATGCCACAGCAGGGATATTGATCACACCTGAAAATAATTAGCAATTATTATTTCAATGTGAAATTTCAAAATAAGATTAATGGTGATTTTGGACAGAAGTCAGCACAAGAATGCAATTTATTTTTGAGGTACTTTTAGTAGAAAATTATGACTACGCAAGCAGCCATAAAAAAACAACTTTTTTTATGGCTGCTTTTTATTTTATGCTCTGATGCCTCCATTTAACATGAGAGCAAAGAGACTGTCTTTGATCGGCTCACGTCATTAACCATGGTTACTGATTTTTGATTCTCTTTCATATGCATCCAGTTCGGGCAGCACAGTCATCTCCCTTAATGAGACCAGATGAGCCTAGATATTTTCATTTTATTCTCTGAACTTCATTAAGTATTTCATTTCATGTGAAGAGCAGTTATCATATTCACAAAGCTGGAAGAGTAGCTGTCAGGGCTGCTGGTAGGATGAATTATAATTCACAGCTAAGGTCAAAATAATTAATTCCTCTGACAAATTCAAGCTTGAAATCAGTTTCATTTCACCAAAAATTTTGTTCATAGCCTTCATTGAAATTATAGCAATAACACACTTACAATTAGTGACCAGCTTTTAACATGTTGTCCTTGGTGTTAATAAGGAAACTATGATCTTATAACAACTGGAGAAGTTACAAACAAGTCAGAATGAGTACTGAGGAAGCAAGTTGATGGTGAGAAGATACCAAAAGAATCCAACAGTAATTAAGTGGAGCTTTTAAACAGAGGAGTTTGATTATTGATAAGCAGCAGGTGGCAGACTGACAACCAGGTGCAAGTGAGAGAGGAGACCAGACAAGAAGGCTGAGGAAGGGAGAGAGAGAGAGAAATGACATAAAGGAGCATGGAGGAAACACTGCTGTACAGCTGAAACTAATGAACAACATTAAAATCTGAACCCCCCTCAAAAAAAAAAACAAGATCCTGGTGTGGAAGGGGTGTTGCCTTGGAAAAATGGGAAAGTAAAAAATAAACAAAACCCAAAGTTCTGGTAGCAACAAGTTATAAGTACATAAAGGATGTGGTTCTGAGGAACCCAACAAAGTAGGTGGCTAGCCTACAAAGAAGCCTGGAGTCTGGAGGATTTCTATGATTCTATGAAGATGCAGGAACCGTGAAGGTCATTGAGGATCCCAGCGTCAATGATGTAGAGCACAGGTGTCAGGAGTTGGTGTCCTACAGTTTTTAGATGTGCCACAGGTACAAAACACTGGAATGAAATGGCTTAATCACCTCCTACTTGTGTAAGATCTCCAGAGACCTGCTAATGACACAATTATTCTCTTCAGGTGTGATGCAGCAGAGGCACATCTAAGAGTTGCAGGACACCAGCCCTTGAGGACTGGAGTTTGATACTCCTGATGTAGAGGTTCCGGAGGTCAGCTGTACAGAAACTTGGAGCTTGGAGGCTGGTACTTCAGAGGGTCTACAGGAATAGAAACCTTGATGCCCGGCAGCAACAATAGTCAGGAGTCTTGAGACGACAGAAAACATTGGAACATTGCAGCAGAGCATCTGAATCTCTGGAGTCCAGTTGCTGAAAGACCTTTGAGGTAAACCAGATGACAGCAAAGTCCCCATGAGGATTCCTGGAGATGACAGCTTACTGGGACCCAAACCAAGGCTCAGGAGCTGGGAAAGACGACCCACAAAGTAACTCTTGTTCTGGGGAAGATGACCTATGCAGAAGCTCCGGTCATCCACGTAGAAGCTTTGCAGATGTACAAGACCCATGATGGAACTCTGCAGTATGGTACCCAAGCGCTAGGTTCTGCAGGGACAGCTGGTTCTGCTGCAGTGGATGCAAAGGCTGCTGCTGACAGAAGAATTGCTGCTACCGCCAACAGACAGGCAACTGGTGAAAGTTGCTGGTTTTCAGGGGCAAAGAGCAGATTTTAAGGTTGTAAAGCGTGGTGCCAGCTGTTGGTCAAAAGGTTGATGACTCAACTAATGTGGATGAGTAGTGGAGGCCCCAGTCTGACTTCCCAGAGAAGCCTGGAATAGAGGTGACAGCCAGATCCCCAGGAGAAGTAGTGGAGGCGTCTTTGCGGTGGTGGCATTAGTGTTGGAGGACGAAGCAGCAGCAGAAATAGAAACTGGTGCTGACACGGATGCAAGGCAGATTGGCAGCTGATGTAACCAAAGTGGATTGAAGTATATTTCAGCCAACTCTATCTGACAGACCGGGTTGCACCCCTCAGCCCCAACAGCTCCACAAAGCCCAAGGAGGATTAGTGAGGAGTCCAGTCATTAAGGGCTTAAAGGCAATCAACCGCTACATTTAAGCACCTGTCAGCTGAACAGTGCTTGGCCACAGTGTCAATGTAAAGCTTATCAGTTGTTCCTAAATAATCCATTTCTGCAAAAATTAAATCTGCTGATTCTTGCCGGCTTGTTTCTTCTGTCAAGATGTTTGGTTGTTGAAGGGACCCAAATGTAGACAAACAAAGGCGGTGAGTTGATAGTGAGAATGCAGTGAGACTTACAGGAGAACACAGGGAGTGAGAGCAGAGACCAGAATGCATTGAGTGGGTGGAGCTTTTAAGTTGATGAGCTTGATCACTGACAAGAAACAGGTGGCTGAAGTACTTTCCTTCTCAGTTATGTTTATCCAATTGTAATGAACTGACAATGTTTTAGTACATACACCATACCCATGAGAAAGTTAGCCTTGGAGGCAGACTGCCTGAAATGCTGCTCGATGTACTTGGGCTTGTACGTGACCATGCCTATGAGGGAGTTCAGCTGGATGACCACCACACACAGGTAGATCACATACACAGGGTGTCCAAGAAGAGTTCGCAGGGTTGGAATAAAGTCTGTAAAGAAGCAGATCTTATTATTAACAAAAGTGTGTAATAGATGGATTAACAACAGCATGGGGAAAGCAGCTGATTGAAGAAATTTAACATTTTCAGTTGTTGGTAATAATAGCAAAACAATCTCCCCATCATCACCTTTAGCCATTTCTACAAAACTGCTGTGTTCCTCTGCTTGATACTTGTACTTAGAATGGGGAGTCTCCTTGATGAAACTTGCTTCCTCCTGAGTGCCCATCTTTCGGACCCTAGAACCAGCTGTGGGCAGAGATCGGGGCAGAAACCAGAACGGGATGGCAGAGAGCAAAGTTATGACCCCAGCTATGAGGTAGCCCAGCCACCAGGCACCCACCCATCGGGCATCTGCTGGTGTAATGGTGATGGTGTCTATGTTGGAGAAACACAGCGTAAAAAGGCATACAAAGAAATTAAATGATTTTAGCTTAACACATTTTAAGAAACTCATTGCGCAGAGTTATGAATATTAAATAATAAGGTGTCCTGTGTTTAAACAACTTGTTGAACTCTGAACCCTTTTGCACATCTTCACACACATATGACAAAATTTTACAAAATTAAAACTGTTTTAAATCAAAAACATAATCCAACAACTTGTATAAAAAGCCTTCGGCAAAGACCAGTGGAAGTTTTCCTCTTCTATATGACTACCAGTTTTTGATAAAGGAGTTTTTTTCATTTGCTCAATCTTATTTGCAACAGTCATTTGGGTTTGCAGTAAAGATCCCAAGATTAATATCTTTGAATGATACTCTCAGTGCAGAATGATCCATTTGAAATTCTTTGAAAATGACCAATCACCCTTTCCCAGCTTGATGGACAGCAATAAATGCTTATCTAAAGTTACTGTTGACGTTTTTTCACAAAGTGTTTTTCAAAGGAGAATGCCGGACCATTTGTTGTTGACTTCAAGCTGAAATTAAACTGCCTTTTGTAGCAGGACAATGATCCAAAACATAATAAGCTCATCACTGAATGGCTGAAGAAAAACAAAATGAAAACATTGGAGTGGCCAAGTCAAAGTCTTGGCTTGAATCCCATGTGGCATAGTTTTACAAAGGCAGTTCAGGCTAGAAAACTCTCCAGTGTGGCTGAATTACAATAATCCTACAAAGATAAGAATACCAAAATTTCTCCACTGGCAGGAAAAGACTTAGTGTCAGTTTTCACAAATGTTTGATTGCAGTAGTTGCCGCAAAGGATCATCATTTCACACAGGGTCATGTTTTTTTTTCCCCTTAACAATGAACAGCTACACTAAACAAACATGCCAAAAAAAAAAGAAAATCAGGAAAGCGGCAAACACTTTTTCATATCACTGCATTACCAGCATTATTACAGCATATCATTACACATTGACACTGGCAACGGAAACATGTTTGCAAAAAATATCTTCATTTTAATTTTAATATGGAAAAAGTACTGATCTTTGGAGTCATTGCGTATTGTAGTAATTATATTAGATTTCTGTCTCCATTGCTAAGGTAACCAAAAAATTACTTAAAGAGCTTAAACTCTTTGTAAGCACAAACCTGGTCTCATTGATGGCCTCCTTACAACAAAGAGCCGCAAAGATTCTGTATGTTATGTTAAATTAAATGACACTGGTCGTCAGAAAAGCTTTTCAAAGCCTTTGCACTTAATACTCATCTTTTCATCTGAGTGTTATGTGAGTGCATATTGACCCTGAAAACTCAAGTTCATGTCATTTTCAGTTTTAAGTAAGGGTTTTTTTCTCAATTCAAATCACTGTATTTTTATTTAGCAAAAACTTTTCTTCATTCCTTTCACTTCCTAACATCTCAGTTCACAAATTGTGCTTTGATTTTCAGAAGAGTTTCATAAACAGGTTCAAAAAATAAATAAAGTAGTCTTGAATCTTTAGAGCCTTAGTCTTTTGTTCACATTGTAAACATTTTATTACAGTTTGAAGTGCTGACACTGACTTAATGCACTCTTTGTTGCTGACTGCTTTCCATTCAAGAACCTTTACAGGATTAGAAAAAGCTGGGTTTTCTTCTTATGACTGTTGCACCTGTCTTTCTACCCTCTTCAATATACCTCCTGACTGCACTCTATTTGATTGTTGCCTGTCAGAGAGCTTTGTCCTCCAGGTCGCCTTATCAGCTGAAAAGCATTGATTCTGTACACCTGTTCACAATTCTGAATTGTGCGTACTCCACCCACTGCTGGATTTGATAACTATATGCATTGGTTCGATGGATGATAGGATCTTTTTCACCTCACCAGTGATGGCCAGTAATGGTGCAACAAGGTCAGATATGCTAACAACAGCCATCCAGCCCTCCATAGTCTAGACCCTCTAAGCCTGACAGAGCTACAGGAGGACCAGTCCCTATCTCCAGCAAGAGGAAAGGTACACCTTGGACAGGTCAACAGTATATCATACGATCATGCACACACACACAAATGTCCACACTACTTTACCCAATTTAGACAGATACATTTCTTTAACTGTCATGCTTTTGGATTGTGGAAAAAAATCATACATGGAGAACATGCAAACTCCATGTTGCTGGGATTTGAATCCAGGACCTTCTTGCTACAAAGCAAAAGTGCAAGCATGCAACCCATGCTTACTACATCGGGCAATAATTTCTCAGCATTCATAGCTCCATGTAACTCCATGTTAACTTGCTTCCTCAGTAAACAACATGTAAATGTGCATTTCTGTCTTCCTATTCCACTCTACAGAGTGTTTTCCAATACAAACAAGGGGTCTAACTTTGACAAGTCCACTACCGACTTTTGGGATAAAGGTCGGTAGTAGATATGACAAAGCATATGTTCAGAAAAAGGCCCAGCCTTTAGTGGGATGCTACAACAGTAACATGACAAACCTGTTCCTAATAAGTATAAGACGGCTTAACGTCAAATGCGCAAACAGTAAATTTAAAATAGCTTACAACTAAGAACAGTTAAGAAGTGTGATTCTTATCATTAAACTGTCTATTGTTACTGCATTGAGCCATATTATTCAATTTAATAATGTTGGCAGTACTGTTATTTTTTTAGTCTAATAAATCAATATTCAGAGCATCATACAACATTTTTCATAATAATAAATTATACAATAAATGCCTACCCCTATTTTCATGTTGAGATGGATTGTTGCTCTGAGAGTTGTTTAAAACCTAACTCTGATTTAAACTTTGACCCTGAGATGCCTGATTGTTACCAAATGTTTTCTAACAAACCTCTGAGACCTTCAAAGAACAGCTCTGTTTATACTCAATAAATTATACATAAGTAGAATCTGTATTGAATGAAGGGGCTGAATACAAATAAAGACAACACTTTTCATATTATTTTGAAAAATAATGAAAAAAGAAAAAATCATGTTTCTTCCCTTTTCCCACTCAACAAGGATGTACTTTGTGTTGGTCTATCACATAATGTCTAGCTAAAATAAAGTCCTATTTGTGGCTGAAAAGTGAAAAAAGGCAAGAGATCTAATTACTTTTGCATGGTACTGTATTACCTGATAAGGTTTACTACACTCTGGATGATCTGGAAAAAGTGCTTATACTCACCCATCTTCACAAACCCAATGTCCACGTAAATCTTGGCACAAAGGGAGCCTAGCAGGTATCCAAACACAGGCCCAACAACTGAAATGGTCTGCACACAGCCTAGGTCATTAAAAAATAGAAAAACTCCTCATAACTGCACTGAACTGAGAAAAATGTTTGAACGAAAATATTGTTTTTACACATATAAGATTACTGTACATGTACAATAAGGTTAAACCCTTTTGTCAAATCCTAATTTGAGTGGAAAACATCTGCTGACTCAGGATGTTCTTTTTCAGTAATACGCATAATCTCCTGCCGTAGAACAAATGAGAGATTTATCGCTTTGCTCATGTTCTTGGAAATAAAAACAAAACAAAACACTGCTGCACAGGGAAAAGCTTTCTGCAAATATGGTGTTTTTGGAGCAAAGGTGCTACGCTTCAAAGTGAACATTGTTCACTGTTAAAAGTGCCACACTTTTAGGATTTTTGTTGTTGTTGCTTACCACAGAATAAATAGTGATGTATTTAAAGCATTGAAAAAAATGTTTGTCTAAGTAAGTATATAATGAAGCTTTTCTTACCAATGTAAAGTGCAGCATTTTCTTCTGTAGCAAAGTCATCTATGTAAGAGATCCCCAGGGGCTGAACGGGTGTCTCCCCAATCCCCCGCAAGACATTCCCCAGAAGCACGTATATCCACATTGATAAGTTGGACTCGCCTTCGCAGCCTGGAGTGAGATATATCTAAATTATGATATAGCCTTTGTGTGCTTTGCTTGTGTGTGTGTGTGTGTTTTTTTTTGTAAACCCACCTGTGGACGGCACTTGAGGTGAAATACCAGGTTGGTCTCCTGGTGAATCTCCCTGACAGGGAGATGAGTTGTGCGTCGAGTTCACTACCCATCTCACCGACGTTTCAAACTCATAGCTGGGCACAAAGATATCAGCAGGTCAAGGGCAATTATTAATAGACTGATTTAGATTTAAAGTATTTCCTTTTATTTTATCAGCATGTTTCTTATCATTGAAAATGACGTTGACCTTTTTTTTTTTTGAGATCCAGCCGGATTCCATCTTTTAACCCAACAGAGAATCTAAAGAGTTGGGTGATGGTAAAGCCTTCTAACATCAAAAACCTGGAGTTCATCTTCAAAGATAATTTGTCAACATAACAGTGAAGATTTATGTTTACATTTATGTTAGGGGTTTGATTGCTGTAATGTCAATAGATATGTGTTCAATAATTATTGAGAAGGCCACTAATCAATTTTAATATTTTGTTTTTTTAACATGATATAAATTAAAACACATAACTTACTTTTTTGGGAATAATTTTCTGTGTTATAGTTATTTTTATTTTACATTTCAGAAACCAACTTCTTGGTTGAATGAACTTAATTCAACAATTTTTGTCAAAGATTGTCTATTTTAGCAGGGTCCCTGGAGGGATAGTGTCTATCTCCAGTGGTTAAATAAAATTAAAAAAGAAAATAACAGGTAGAACATAACTTGTGAATAACTTTGCAATCATCATATCTCCCACATTATGAACTTCACACACATTGCTGCAAGTATTTTAATAAAAGTAAGTCACAAAACTTGCATGAAAGTCAAATGTTTACCAATAATTAAAAGATATTTGTTATTTATTTCAACTTCTGCTAAACATAAATGGCCAAGAAGTTTGGATTTTTTTTCTAGTTTTATTTGGACATCTTTTCTTTTTGTTTACCAATAATATATTTTTTTAAAATTTTTAACTGAAAAAATGTAAATGTAACTTTTTTGTGATTTTAGACAAGATGTAGATAATTATATAATAGAAGCGCTGAAAGTTAGTATGTAATGCAGCTATTTAATGGAAATTAAGTACTAAAATCCACGTTATGAGTTACACAGTATTAATCCCAAAAGGAAAGTGCTCCTCTGGTAGTTTTCTGTCAAACTTTAGTATTTGTGTCACGTAGGATTGGGACATTTTGTACATTTGCATATTATATTACACTTGATCAGCTCAGATGCAAAGAGCTTCTAAGATTTACTTGGCTGCCAGCTGATTATCACTCTTTTATAAACTAACAAGCCAAAGAGGAAATGACAGAAACAACTGCAAAAACAAGAACTTCCCCACCAATAGAATAACAAGGTGAGAAGGTTGTGGATTTCTACATTCACTTCTGACAAAGAATAAGCTTCTTTTTTTTTTTTACTTACCGTCCAATGATGAAGTGGGGCAGAGCAATGATGAAGGTGCCAAAAGACATCAATAAGCATCCCAAAGATATGATCTTCGGTCTATGAAGCTTAGCCCCAAAGTAACTGACGAACGCTATCACCAGCAGGTTACCTGTGGAGATTAAACCAGTATCACCATTTAACAATGTTCATGCTGGGTGGCAACAGCACAAATACAGCAAGAGCGAACAATAAATGGTCACTGAACGCATACATACAGTGCAGGAGATACAAACATGTTCAAAGAACAGATTGGGCTTCCCTCAGGTAAATTAATATTTCAGCTACAGGTTTTCAAACCTTCTTTTTGATGTTTGGACGTTCCCATGTTTCTACACTGAGACAATCCCACAGGAACTCAGAAGACACACATTTTCATAGTTGCTTTAGCACCTTTGAGTTTTCTTGCTTTTTTCTGAGAGTTTTGCCTCCACCTCTGTCTGAAAACCCATTCCTTATTCTTGGAAGCAGCATGTTGTATCTTACTTTGTGTATCAGCCGTGCAAATTATTAGAGCAGTTCACCAAAACTCAGGGGATTTGACATAAACGAGCATGTTATAACTACATTATCAATTGTTATAAAGACTCAAGCAATTTTGAGAACTGAAAAAGTGGAGAAATGGGCTAATTTTATCAAATTTGTTTCTGTCTTCACATTTTTACACAATAGTGTGGTTAACCATTTTCATTTTGTTTGGAAATATTTCAAGCTGAAATGACAGAGAAGCCAGTGCTGAGCCAGGTTGGCATCAAAAGCAAAAAGCTCAGAACTGAGGAGTTTCACAGTGGCTCTAAATATTTGTCCTGAATAAGACCTGGATTAATGCAGAACAAGAGAGTGGATTTAGTTGCCAAGCAGCCATTCATACCCATCCCAAAACCATTAAATTGTTTAATATATTTAGTAGGTTGGCTGTTAGGCATATTTTTCAAACTGACAAGTTTCTATTAATGATTTGGGAAGAGTTTATAAAAGAGTGATTTAAGAATGATTTCTTAAATCTCTAAATAGTTTTAGAAAATCAAAAACAGACATCAAAGTTTTATCATTTCAAAATTCACTCTGTCTATGTTTTCTGACATACGCTCCCTGTGGAAAATGATAGAAAGGTAGAGTAGAAAGATAAACTTTCATCACACAGTCTAACCCATTTAGACAGCATTATATCAGAGATGCATGTGTTTAGAAGTTCAGGGCATTAGGAACCTTTAAATTCTGGGGAATATACAAGTACTTATGTGTGAATTTGATTTAGGGAGATACTAAGTCAAAAATTACATGTGAAAAGTCACACCATTAAAAAAATAAACTTGTTACTTGAGATTATGTGGCAGATAGAATTAGTGTCATGATTGTAATTTCTCATTACGAATCTTTGCTCTGTCTCCAAAAGCATCCCTGGTTTTTGCTCACTGCTTGATTCACCTCTCGTCTTTCTTGAGATTTTCTTCCTTTTTCTCTTCACACTGCCCTGCTCTGCCTCCATGTTGCCATGGCAATAGTCCTATGGAAAAGGCTTGTTGCCTAGGCCACATGAGAGAAGTTGTTTTCACGAGAGACGGAGCGATGGAGGTAAAGGGAATAGAGACATCCAGTGACGAGTTAATCTGACGTGCTATCATCAACCTTTTCTTTTGCAGATGAGCATGGAGGGAAAAAGCACCACTTTCCATGCCTGCAGTGCTGCCAGAGGTCCAGATTGTTATGTTAGAGCCACTGATAGATGACTAATCTTCCCTGACCCAGATTTCAACTCCCCACCATAATATAACTGTGATTTCTGAGAAACAAAATAACATAATGGTAAAACCTCTCACAATCATGTTAAAGTGTAAACAGGACAGATTGGCACAAGACTATATCGCAGACCAGAAATAGCTTTAGCAGTGAACAAGGAAACAGAAAATGGGGCTTGGGTTGACAAAGTCATTGCTGTTTCTGTTTACACAAAACTTGATACAAAGGTGCATAAGATGTTCTAATTCATTTTATTTTGAACAGAAGACAAACATAGAATCTGTACATTCGAAAGGATATAAAGGCTTGAAATGTTTTCAAAATGACAACAAAAAATCAAAATATGACAACTTCTCCCATTAAGATTGCTCCACTTAATAAAGGGAAAGAAGCTGGAGCAATATGTTTTCATAGTAAAAAGTCATTAGACAGATACCATACAATGTTATTCTAATGACCAAGCATACATTTTCTAAGACAAACTTCAAGTGGTCTGCTTTATACCTTCTGAACTATGCTTTGTCATAAGTACATTTTATAATGGTATATCTCAAGACTCAGTATCTGTCACACTTTGTTTTAGTTTGCATGTAAAACAATTTCATTTTATTTCTGTCCTAGTACATTTTTTCAGTTGAATGCCAATGACATGGCTTATATGTCTGGTGGGAAGATTGCTTCAGTTTCAACACAATTGTCTCGGCATTTAGAGTTTGCTGCGGCAAGGCTTGAAATTTCATGTCTTATTTTGAATGGTTAAAAAAACAACAAGTTAGCTTTTACTACAACTGAGTTACAGCATTGATTTAAATCCAAAGATTAACAGGCAAATTGTCAACAAGTATTAACAGGGGGTGTGCCCTGCAGAGTTAGAGCGAGGGCTTCACATAAACAAGCCAGAAATCCTCAACAAGCCTTTAGGAGTTCGATTCAGGACATTGAGGCCTTTTCTTTGTGTCTTTCCCCCTTCTTTTTCTGTCCATTACCTGATTAGTAATGCAAATAAAACCACTACTGTCACAAAAAAAAACTTTAAAAAAGACTTGTTAGTTGGATTCTTAGAAAATTTGACACGTGCACAAACAAATTTAGGACTTAAGTTAATATGATAATTAGATTTCATACAATTCTATCAAATTAAAACTGAAGTAGTTTTAATTTGACATTTGTGGCTATCACTCATCACTACATATGTGGTCGATGACCACAATTTTTCTTTTGATGAAAACTTACACTGAAAACTTTGTATTGAATAGTTTGGTTCTTCATTGTGTTGTGTTTTTATTCTCTTTTTGATTTGCATTTTAAACTTTCACTGTCTAACAAAGTTCAATCCAGGCACAGGCATTGCATGTTAGCATAAGCTATACATTTTTAAATGTGTGGTATTGGTATATTGTATTTGTTTATACTTGACACTTATGCCTATAAAAAGTCAACTATCAAAGAGCCCTAAAAATGCTGTTATTTCCAACTTTTTCCACCTTTGCAACGCTTTCAAACAATGTGATTTTTCTTGAGTTCGCCTTCAAAGCTTCAAAAACTTTCATAACCTGGTTCCTGAGAGATCAGTCCAGTTCAAGCTGGATTGTCAGTGCATTACAACAGAGTTTCAAAATCACATCTCTAAGTGGCATTTTCTTCTTGAGAAAGTCATTGAACATAATCCATCTGTGGTGATACGTTCAAACAGGCCGACAATTCAGTCAATCTTATGTATTTCCATGTGTTTGTACCTCTATTTTGCTCCTGAATACATGTGATGTTTATCTGAAAACACCCAGTGGATGTTCTCACTGCAGTGTAATGATAAATGTGAGAGAAGGTGATTTGCATGTCAAAATCAAAGCTTGTAAATGTCGGCTGATCTGCCCCGTCATAAATAGCATCACTGGGGGGAGGAAAGGGGAGTGTGGACAAGACGTTAAATTAATAACATAAGGGAGTTATGTTGAAAGAATCATCTTACAGATTCTATGCTATGGCTGGGCACATCTTCGATATCTTTGTTATGCCCTTATTTGAGACTCTGACTCACTACACACAAACACACCAGTGTGTCTTTTTCTAGGAAATCTCATTAATCCTTTATCTGTGGTCTAAATATCTGAATGACCCATTCATATTTTCAGCAGAAGTAAAATGAAGAAAAATAGATTTGGAACATGGTGGTATGAAATGTTAACAACAAAATAACACCAGTGACAGACAAGCCCACTCACCTATCTCAAAGCTCCCATCAATGACTCCAATTAGGTAGCTGGGGATGTCAAAGCGTCTTTCCAGCTGAGTTATTGTGCTCTTCATGTAGCTCCCCGACAGAGCCTTGGCAAAATAGGCGAATGACAATGCTACCAGAAACATCTGGGGAATTGAATGAGAGAAAGAAATAAGATAAAATATTTACAAGAACAAAAATTGGATTTTGCTATTAGAACAGTGGCAGTTTGTGGATTGGGCGCCATGCCAATGGCAACAGCTTTGACTAAGTTCATAATCTTTGAACAATTGGAAAAAAGGTCTCGTTTCAAGGCTCAAATGTCTAGGCTACTTAAGTCTCTTTACAGTTTATTTTCAATATGGTCTTTAAAAGAAGATGGCTTTAAATACCCCCAAATGTAAAGTCTATTACTTCTTTTGCTTTGGATTTTCAGGGCAAATAGCTGAAATATTGTGCACACTAGACATAGTACTGCAATTCTTTAGATTATGGTTTACTGCTTTTGCTTTGGACAATGTTGTGTGTGTTTATTTTGAATTAAGTTTCCATCAATTGTGTTGCTTTGAAGCTTGATCCGTTATTTGTGTTTTTTTGTTTGTTTTTGTTTTGTTGTTGTAAAAATAGAAAACTAAGGATTGTTTCCAATATTGTCTGGTGTGCTTAATTGGTCTGTGAAGTCAGAGCTCTCACCTGGCTGGTCATAATCAAGCAGGTTCAAGGTATGATGAAACTCAGTACTCTGTGGTATTGGCACTTCATCCCTACCTAACCCCATTTTCTTTCTGTTAAGTGTAGCTCATAAAACTGCAAAGTAGACTATTAGCAGAGTATTACAAAATGTTTGTGATAATCTAGTAAGTAGATTATTACATTACATATCTGCTTTTTGTTAAAGCCGGAGCAAAATGACCCCAAGTCATGTGCTAATTCCTCTCTAACGTGGTCGGTATGAATCATCAATCACAGCCAGCTCCCGTGTTATTAAAAAAAAGCACGGGAGCAACACCATCTAGAAAAGTAAAAAATTGTAAAGGGTGAAATAATCAACATACAGTGTAAAGCTGCAGTAAGTTTATATGTTTAGCTCAAATGAATAATCTGGTCCTTGTTCTACTGTTCTTCAGCTTCCAAGGGTCTTCTCCTTGAAAGACATCAAAGTTATGATGTCTGCCAAAAGAAATGTTTTGATGATTACCTGCAAAAGCAGAGGTGTGGTTGTCACAAGCTAGCATCTACTTTATTAAAAATGTCTGACAGATGAAAGCAACATTAAAAATGATCATAGGCCTCGCTTATGCAGGTTTGTCACCAGGTTATACTATTTGAAGGTTTTATGTTTCTTTTTGAGGTGTCTTATGGTATTCAGTTCAACTATTAAGTATGTTTACAAAAAGAAAAAACATTTCCTTTTGCAGAGTGAAAATTGTGATGTTCTGTGTTTTGCACATGAAGCAGGCCTGTTGATTTCTCAAACTATGTTTTATTATTCCACAGACCTTTTAAGTAAAAAAATATAGTTGCAATGAAAGAAGTGGAATTCCAAAAAATAAAGACATACAGAGTGGAATTAAAAAATATGGAAGAATTTCATAGGGAACTATTACAGCATTCCCATCAGTGTGCGTCACTTATGTTATTAGCAGAGCAAATCAACAACAACAAAATAACACAACTAGTTTTAATACAAATGTTTTGTTCAACGTAGTGAGATCCATTCTTCCTTTTTGTTAATTATTCAAGTTTGTCTACATTTGTGTTTTTCAGTCGTCTAAAGTAACTTCTTAAAATAGAGTTTGGACAAAAGAACAACCTTTATGTTATCTCTAATCTGTGACTAATCTTAGCCCATCTGCCTGTAAGCTAGAAAGGAACATTTGGAGGCTTTGGTTGTTTTCCTTACAATGTATTCCACTCAACTTACAGCCCAAGAGAAATCCTGCACACGAGAGTCACATTACGCACATGATCAAATAGATACGCTCTGGCCATATAGGTAGCTGATCTTCTCTTATAAGACAGCATATCATTGTAAATTCACAAAGTTATTTCCAAAGTCATAAAACTCTAACAGCACAGTCCCTTTCAGCTGCTGCTGAATTGGAATCAGCTGACTTTGTAATTAGTTGTTGTGTAACCACATTAAACAAATTACAAAGAGGAAAAAAATTTTTTAGCCAGAATAGAACTTGTTTTTATATATTCAACACTTTTCACATGTAACCTTAGCAGCAGAAAAAAATGGTCTTAGCGGAGCACATTCTCATACATAGCTTTCATTTATATGATTAAAGTGGAACAGAGCGCATCAGTGTAAACAGATCATGCTGGTCACCACAATTGGCTCAGGGGCTTAAGCTATTGTACATTGTCATGTGCATTTCCTGGGGAGGCAGAGTTCCAAACAAGCATGCATATACATTCGTTTCCCCTTTTGATGCCAGACATCACATTTTCTAATGAATCAAAATGGCCTTTGTTACTGTCTTTCCAAACTAATAAACAAGCGAAAGAAACTAATGAACAGGACAAGCCACAGAAGGTGATTTGTTTGCGTCAAAACAACTCCACGTTCCATGCATAATCATCTTCCATCACCATGAGTTAGGCCTTTAAGTCAGTATTTAAGAATATGCTATTTACTTGAGTTAGCTGATGGTTTGCACCACTGTGTGTCTTTGTGCTTCAGCAGACAAGTTGTTATTGAATTATTCTCTACACCAGGTCATGGAAAAATGCTGTCTGATTTATTTAGTTTTTGTTGTTGTTGTTTTAAAAAGCACCGTACCTTTTGAACATTTTCAAAGTATCAAACTTTGAAAAAGTGTAGTGCAAGTATTGAAGCATTAAACTTTGTTACAACCACAAAGTTTAATATATTTTATTTGAATTTGACAAAGATCAATGCAATTTTAAAAAAATGATTGTGAAGTGGAGTGAAAATTATCTGTAGTTTTTCAAGGTTTTACAAATAAATATTAGGGAGTTCTGAATTGCAATTTAATTTGGCAACTTAACTGTCAAATCTTAATGTAAAAGTCCATCTGTATGTAATCTTAACTCTTAGCTTAATGTGTTAAGATTTGGTCCCTATAAATCTGGCAGTTGTGAAAGGTTGTAAAAGGAAAGCTGTTGTTGAAAGAAAGGCCCAAAGAAGCCAATTTGCAGTTTGCTAAAAGCCATGTAGGGGACACATGAAACATGTGGTAGAGGTTTGCTCTGATCTCAATGAGAACAAAATGTTAAAAGTTAAAGTTAAAGCACAATGTGGAACTTGTGGTGTGTACCTAAAACCCTAGAACTGCCAGTACTTTCCTATTTGCCGTGACTGAGTTTTTTTTTTTTTTTTTTTAACAGTTTCTTTTAATTTATCTAAATATTACAAAACTATTGTTCTGTCTGACTTGAGAATGACTAGAAATGTAAGGAAGAATGGTTGATGGATCAAATTGCACAGGCTACTTCTGCTGAACATGGCCAATTCGTAATTATCACTAATCCTAGCATGCATGTTTATGGACCACGTGTGGTAAGTCAAGTGAATGGAGATGGCCACAATGTTAACATGTAAAGTCGAGAGAGACAGGGATTTAACCTGGTAACCTTTGGTGACCTGTAACCCGAGATGACAGTGCTCACCCTACCAAACCAATCAGCCTAATCTAGAGCTGAGACCTCGAACCAGTTCAAAGACAGAAAATGGAGCAACACAGAACATCAAAACTCAAAATTCAAAACAAAACAAAACAAAAAAAACTCAAAGGATAAAGACGACTGTTTGGAATTCAATTCATTTTATTTGTCAAAGCCATTTGTGTTGGGGGGCTGTACCATCTGGCAGCTTTTTGCAAACACAGTGAAAAACACCAATCATCAAGGATTAAAGATGTGACACAGCAGCATCAAGAGCAGATTAGATTATCACTGTAAAACACTTTATATTCATGTTAGAATCGCAACTCCCAGTATGATCCGCTCTTGACAAGAGTACTGTTAAAACTTTCTAAATCAACCTTATATTATACACAGTTTTTGCATACTAAAAAAAATTGTGAAAGTAAAATTTAAATAAGTCTTGTATATTTAAAGGAGCCATCGATTCCTAAATCATAATTCCAAATTATCTCTACAGTTCAAACACAAAACTTATTTATTCAGTTCTGTTTCTTTTATTGTGAACCTACAAGGTATTAGCAAAAGCTTTAACTAACGATCATGAAGAAGCAAGAAAATTTTCAAGCTATGCATGATAAACAACCCTATCTAAAATAGAAAAAAAAGAGTTCTCAGTTTCCGTCTTTTGCAATAAATGAATGCAAAATGAGGCCACACTGAGACATTGTGGCACCATAGTTTTTAACCCATTTGGAGGAATTAACAAAAGCGGAGAATAATACTGAGTACCGGATTAGAGTTGTAGCGAGCTGTGCCATATCCCACCCAGTCACTCGGGGAACTAAACAATTCTGAGAAGAAATAACTCTGTCCTGCCTCAACAGTCTGTATTATGATAAGCTGCTTGAACACCATTGTCTCACATCACTTTCATGTTAGGTAAAAAAAAGATCTGCCAGAAGGATTGATCTTGTGGAGGGTTTTTGCTAGGACTGTTCATTTTTCCCTATTTATTTACCTTTTGGGAAGTGTGTTTGAAGCTCTTGGTTAGAAAAGACAAAGAGGAATAGTCTTAGGTAGACTGGGAGCTTGCCATTATACTTCACAGAAATTTATAGTGAATAAAAGACTGATGAGTGCAAGATGGGAATAATCGAGTCAATCTTGCAGAAAAGATATGCAGCCAAGAATATGGTTAGCATTTAAAACATGTTTGTAGATTTAAAAATTATATATATATATATATATATATATATATATATATATATATATATTATATAATATATATATATATATATATATATATATATATATTATATATATATATATATATATATACTGAACTGAATAAATAAGTTTTGTGTTTGAACTGTAGAGATAATTTGGAATTATGATTTAGGAATCGATGCCTCCTTTAAATATACAAGACTTATAAATATATATATATATATATATATCTATATATATATATATATATATATATATATATATATATATATATATATATATATATATATATATATATATATATATATATTATATATATATATATACACACACACATCACTTTCATGTTAGGTAAGTGATTTTTTTTTTTTTTACTTTTAATATAGTAACTTTTTATTCAAAACATACCATTACTGTTTAGATCAGAAGTCTGATACTCCAGTCTAAGAGTGCCACTATCCTCCAAATATAAATACTGAACTAAATTTTCTTCTTGGCAAGCCAGCATATTTTGCAAAGGCTTGGTTATCAACCAGTCATTCAATTTAATGGAGGTGGAGTTTTGGTGCATCCAAATTTGCAGGACAGTGGGACTGGAGAATATAATATTTCTGAAGATGGTTCTTACTATTGGACACAAAGACAAGATCTGCATTTCAACAGACCAAGGGGCAGATCCTTAAGGAGACGTTTGTTTTGCAGTGACGGGGCATCCATGAATTAGAATAGTTTCAACCATCATAAGCTTAATCTTACTAAGATCAAATGGGTTTGGAAGCCAACTCAAAAACTTCACATTCATTACGCTCACATTTCATCAGGCAACCCTGAGAAATGTTCTTACAGACGTAGCGTACAACTGTAAGAGGCCAGAGGATTTCCCCTTTGCTGTTTTGAACCACGTGGCTTCACTGCCTTTCTAATAAAAGAAACTATGATGACGTCTGATCCTCATGGTGATTAGTCCAATGCATCCATTTGTCCACATTGAAAAAACAGTCAAATAAATGTCCCCAAACCAGATTACCTTCTGAGACAAAGATCATGGTCTATTTTAATGTGCACATGTAACTTGTGAGTCATTTTAAGAGAGGTTGATGTTAATGCACTATGACTTCAGATATCCACAGAATGAATCCAGTCAATCACTCAATAAAACCGGTGCAGGATCCTATAAAGTACTCCTAGTATGTACTGTATGTCAGTTCATGTAAATTCAGTATCAATATGTTCACGTTATTGAAGTGAATTGACAACTTTTGATATTGACAAGCAGTGGGCAGAGTAAGCCTAGTCCATATTCTATAGCTTTTTTATGCTTATTAGGTCTATGATAGATTAACAATTCCATGGAAATGAGCTATTGAGAAATGGTTCCTGTAGAGAACTGCTACAAATCCAGGCTTAGAAAGCACAAATGGCCCATGATCCTTACCACTGCAATAACATTGGCTGTTAATACCGAGCCGTGATCAGAAAGTAGCTGCTGTTTACTGCTATAGAAACCAAAGCTACCAAGGCTAAGTGAACACAAGCACCAGTTTAGCAAAACATGCTAAACCTACATCAAAATTTACACTTAAATAGACGAGTAGATCTTAAATTGAATCACTCCTCTGGATTATTTCTTCAAGGTATTCTAAATGGAAACGTCTCGCCTGCTGTACAGATTTTAGGTGGTTTTTAAGAAAGAATAATTACTTGTGAACTGGCCAACAAATGTTATTTTGATTTCTTTGATGATGACACACTGCAAACTCTGATGGCAAGTTTTTTTTTTCATAAGCCTGAGAGCTCTAAAACGTTCAATCAAAAAGCGAAACATTACTGAGTATTTTAGGATTAATGTTTTATTAAGGTTGTATCTTTATTAAGAAATTACATTTTAAATTACAATTGCATCCCACTGATCACCATTTTTTTTTCCAGAAGAATATATTGTAAAGTTGCTCTAATTAGGTTATTTACAAAAAAAAAAGTAGATGTATAGCTACTAGACAAGCATATGACTGCATAACAACACTTAAATCAACACACCAAACATGCTGGTTGAAGAGCAATAACCCTGGCATTCTGAAAGATAAATTAGCACATGTACCTTCAGACTGGTGCATGGAGAGCCGCTGGGTTTGCTGTTCGTCTCGTCACTTCGTCCGTTCTCCTGCACACAGTCTTCCTCGCTTCTGTCCTCCATTCTCCAGATATGTCTCTGTGTCTCCTTAGCAGAGGTCTCTTGCTCGGTGCAGATTCTTGGTATTGAGGCATGCAACCCTGCAAATGGATAATTCAAGCATGTGACCCACTTCTCACAGCAAAGGAAAAAAATAAATAAATAAAAGCAGGCAGTACAGAGGAAAACTGACACACAAACTGAAAAAAACTGCGAGTGTTTTGTCTTGAATGTCTTCAGGCTTCAGTCACAAGTAAAAAGTCAGCATTGTATTCAGGCTAAAGGACGTGCCTGTGCTTTCAGAACAAAAGCTTTTTGTTTCAGGTTAACTATTTTCAGCTACAATATCAAACACCGTGAGCTGAACATTCCAGCCAATCAAACTCTGTACCTACTTGTATTGTTCACGGCAGTAACTGAGATCATGAGACCAAAAATAATGAATCTTGAACTAGGACTGTGAAGTCTGGTAAAACCATAATCTTCAGCCTAAGAGCCTTAGTGCACTGAAACCAAATATAAACAACGTCAGAGGAGATTTCATTTACTTTTGAGATTGACAAGGTGAATATCTATGACTTTAATTCCTGGTTCTTGACCTGGAGTGTGGGAAAGATTGGAGAAAACGTTGAATTAAAATGAACTGAAAACAATTAGTGTTAAAACTACACTCACCAGGTGTTATGTTAGGTACACTGACTCAGCTGCTTGTGGATACAAATCACAAGCAGTAGCAATGGACTTAGTCGTGGCAAAGCTGTTTCTCAGAAGTTTGGCGAAGAAGGAAAAATTAATTGACTTAGAGATAGGGAGGGACACGAAATATATTCTTTATCATATTGTACTTTTTTCTTTTATTGTGATGAGAATTTATTATGACAATGGTAAACTCTATTCATGCCTACAAACCCCAAGAACTTCTACTTAAGAATTTGGGGTTGCCATGTTCTGGATGACTGGGAATCAACACCGATGTATAAACCTTGAAAGCAGAGGACTATTAGTGTCTCTTAGACTCGTACATCAAAAGCAGCTGAGTGCAACTGAGTTAGACTTGTCATAAGTAAGCTGAACTTACTTATGGCTAAATTAGCTTTTTTGTGCATCTTGTTTTGAGCCATGTTCTGGTTCTGCTGAAGGTTTCGTTTTCCAGGTAAAGAGGAGTTTTTCATCTCCACTGTTGACACATTCAAGCTCAGGATGGGGAGCATAGTTGCAAAGTCAACAAAACAACACAATCCGTTGTGTTGTTTTGTCGCTATTTCTTCATCCAGGAGGAGTGAATGCTGCAAGTCAATGATTCAATGCACCAGAAAAAGTTTTAAGTTAGTTTGAATAATAAACTGAATTTAATGCACTGTATGATAACTGGTATTAATTGGAATGTACATGTGATTGAACTGGAAGGATTTTTTTTGCTTTGCCTTGAGATGATATCTGTTGTGAATTGGCACTATCAAAAAAAAAAACTGAACTAGATTGACCATGAAATGGTCAGAGTAAAGAAATATACAAGGTTTAAGTGTAGTATGTGCCCTTTTGGTCCACAAACATAACAACAGAATATTTAGAAGTGTGGGTTTGGCCTAGTTATTTCTGTCAGACTGTCTGAAAACACATGTGCACCCGGGAATTGTGACATGCCAATGCTGCGCTTCAGAGTCACAGGAAAGCATCATCGTGTCACGCTAAATAAAGCTTCACTGAATCAACGTCAATGTCAGCAACATTTTAGTGGATGAAAGCAGGAGAAAAGATGGCAAGAACAAATAGAAACCATCCAGAAACTTTATCATAACTAATAGTTGACCTGGATTTTCAGACATTATTATAGGCACAATGTTAAGCTGAGAAAAATAAGTAGGGAAGATAGCTTAAATAAGGATTGACAGAAACAACATTAAACACAAATAATCTGGTTAAAAGTTCATCCTAACCTCAAGCATCAAAACTGAAGCAGAATTGTCAGTTATTTTCATTTTTCTAGTGTCAAGAGAGACGTTGTTCTGTACAGCATTTCTTGAACATTGCAGCCGTCCCTTTTCTGCACAGCTCCCTTAATGTCTCGCCACAGCATTTCAATCAGGGTTTGGACTTTTAAGTGGGTCAGTAGTACCTTGGTTCTTTTCATTTTAGAAGTGACGGTTTTGGTGAGATTATTCTTATTCTGCAAACACAATGTGACTTTTAAGACCACCATGAGTTAAGCTGATCTTTTGTTGTTTGCTTGGTAATAATTACTTAAACTATTGCACCATTGTTGGTGTAACTTTGTACACTTTAAGTTAAATTCAAAATTTTTTTTTTGAAACTGTATTATATTGCATTATATGTTGATGCTCTAATTTAACAACTGTTCCAATAAAAAAAAAACTTTATACTGTTTTATTTGTAGATAAGTTGGTGTGAAACAAATAAATTATTTCTGAGCCAAAGGAATTCCAGCATAAGGAAAACCACTCCAACATCCCAGCCCACTCCACATGGACATGGCAGCAATATGTGTTATAATTTTACTTTACTAACAACTCCTGTCTTGTTTTCTTTCACCCCAATTTACCTCTGTCTCCCATTGTATGCAAATTATTTCTTACCTCTCTCATTTTTATTATTTCACATAATAACTAAAGTCACATTATGTTGACAGACACAAAAAAAGTGATGTTGTCACGTTGGTGAGTTAGGATTATGTACCACATTTACAATTTCTCTCAACTGATTTTCTTTGACTTCACACAGAGAACAAACCAATGAGGCTCACTAACAGCAACAGGTTCAGCTGTTTTATGTAAAGCAAGACAGAGCACAAAATATATGTATTTTCTTGCATTCTGTCAATGATTCCATGAGTCATTCTTGTTTTGAGCACACATTTAAATGGAAACACAAAGACCCAACTGCAAATGCTTTTTGAGCTGCCTTAAAGACGCTGGCAACATTTTTATTAACACTACATGTTTCTGCCGCAGCTTGTCACTGATTGCTTTTTCTGTTTGTCTTCCATTCTCAGTACCAATTTGCTAGCTGAAGTCTTCCTCTGTATGTTTCATATCTCCAAACAATGTGTCTCCAGATCTCTGCTCTTTGGAACTGATAACGGTCTTGCGATAATTTCTCATAATTCTCCCTTATGTAACACCCTAATGTAACATCCTCATGATTCAGCTGGATTTGTAAAGTAACTGTAATTTTAGACAGCATAATGCTGGAAACAAACCCATAAACAAATACATACAAGGTACCATCCCTCTTAAGAACAAAAACTGAACAGCATTCTGCAAATGAGGATCTTACTCACACTAGCACTAGCAGGAATCTTAATCAATACAGACAAACTTCCCATAGTCTGCTGAGCTCCAGTGCCAAGGAAAGCACCAACTACTTAATATTAGGATTTTTGGCTGATTTGAGAAAATTTTGGGCACTGAGGCTCCTTTCTGCGCTTCCACAAGTTCAATAAATGAATTTCAGACTATGCTTGAAATCATGCATCAGTGCAGAACAATTCAATATTTAGTGTCAGAAATATTATTGAGGCAACTCTTTAGAGCAGTTCTCAAGTATTTTTGCATTTTAACAATTCAAGGGCAGCTGTGGTCCCTAAAATTCACAAAGACCAGGGGTCAATTGTATACCTCCTTTAAAAATATTATATCAAATTAGGTGCAACCAGATTATTTAAAATTCTTCATATATCTGTGACGATGTTAGCATGCCTAATATGCCAACATCACTTATGTCAGCTTTAAACATTATTGTGTTATTGTGAAAGTCTAATCTTTGGAACTCTTGTTGAAAGAAAATGCCATATAAAGAAAATAACTTGATATTTACAAGTGCTGGAAAAAAAAATCTAAGAGTTTGTAGTTCTTTAGCAGTGAGCTTTGGAGATTTGCTTTACCTCATCTAATGTCCTCACTTTGTGTGGAAAGATAACTCTAACCCTGACTGTCCTTGTCACAGTTGCAGATGTTTTAAACTTTTTTATTAATGAATTCCTCTGTGTGACTTAGGAGAAGTGGCTGTTTTTCTTGTAGCAATTTTAGGACTCTATATATATTATTCTTTCTTGAGTGGGATGAGCAAATAAGACAAAATATAATTGTAATTTTCCCTATGGAAAATTACAATTTTAACTTGTCTTATCTTAAATAGCCTACAGTTTACATCATATAGTGTTGGTTATTTTGATGATTAAATAAATTTGAACTTTTTTAAATTTTAGTTTAGTTTTGATGGTTATAGCCTATATATTAATTTTAATAAAAGCCTAAAAGTCAGAAACTGAAATGAATATAACTTCACCCATAACTACACAAACATGGGGAGAACTATTGATACAACTGACAAGAAAATTTCATTTTCTGAGTATTCAAGTGTCCAAGCTTATTAATAGGAAGTTTAGGTGAAGGACAATATGTGATAGAAAAAGTGCAGAAGTAACACAGAGGTAAAAATTAAATAAATGTGTGTGAAATTCTCAAGGCTGTTCACTGAGTGCTGTGTTCAAATGTAATGAAAGGTTTGGTGGAAGGAGAAAGAAGTGCAGTAAGACGTGTCATCATTTCCCAAGATGTTGATTTCATTCCCAGCCTAATTGCCATCTGTGCACATCACCAAAAGTACCATAACCTGATTTAATGACCATTGCCTCCTCATTGCGTTTAATTGATCAGCAGACTCATCGATCGATAGATAGATAGATAGATAGATAGATAGATAGATAGATAGATAGATAGATAGATAGATAGATAGATAGATAGATAGATAGATAGATAGATAGATAGATAGATAGATAGATAGATAGATAGATAGATAGATAGATAGATAGATAGATAGATAGATAGATAGATAGATAGATAGATAGATAGTAAAGCAACATATAAATTATTGCACAATACAAATTTCGAATCCAAATCTGCAAAACCAAAATCATGCAGCACCATGCATGCTTTTTTTTGGCTTAAGTTCAGCTGTAAGGAGAAGCTCTTACTTTGAACACCTTAATCTCTGAACTGTTTTGTTGTTTGCTGAAGTGCAAGAAATAAGCTGTTAATGAGAGCAACAAGGTCAGACGGGTAAAAAAGCTTCAGGCTGGGGAAAAAAAAAAAAAAACCTGCCTGTTGCCATCTTTAATTAAAGACGCTCCGACTCCCTAATTTTTTCAGCTCCGTTTTTTTCCCCCTCCTTTTTTAAGAGCGGAGTGACGATGAACTGGAAAGACAAAATCACTCACCTTCAGTGTCCTTATTTTCGGCTTGATTGAGCGGCTCGGATTTCCCAACCGGCGATCCAGTCAAGAGTCTTCCTCTTCCTCCTCCTCCTCCTCTTCTTCCTCAGCAGCTCAGTCCGCTTTCAGTCAAACTTCTCATGTGGAAGGACAGCTGCAACGAGCGCCGATTAGGATCGAAACGTGTGTTCGCACTTTCCGTATTTGGCCGAGCCGCCTAATCCGACGATAGGAAACGGAATCCCAGCCTATTGACACACATCCAGGCGGGCAGGAGAGAGAAGATGCGCGCTTCCAGGTGAGATCCCGCCGCCTCCCTGCAGTCACACTGATTCTGCAGACGGGCAGGCTGGCAGCCCGCAACCTTCGGTACAAAAAAAAAAAGCCTTCCTTGACAGAGAGGCGGGCGTCTTCATCAGAGCACCTCTCTCCCTCTCTTTCTCTTTCTTTTCTGTTTCTTAACCCAGTTTTTAATGCAGCTTTGCCTCCTCCCATATTTCTTCACTCCTTCCCCCCTCCACAGAAAAACAAAATGTGAATTAACTTTTTTTATTCTGTGTTTGGAAACGTCTGGCTTTAACTTTATATTCTCATGCATAAAGTGCCTTGCTAAAGTATTCTTTTTGTCACAATGCAGTCACAAATCCTCAATTTAAATTGCTGTGATGTACTTCATAAGAAAAATAATACAAGTTAATAAAAGTGTAATTATTACATTTCAATTTCTATTTTATCACTGGTGTCATCAAGACACTGCTTTATCACCAGTGGCAGCCGGTATGGCAAAACCTCAGTTACTATGACTTCATCCCACTGTTTCTCACACAGCAAAGATAGTAGAACCATTTTCAGATAGTCCAGTTTGGTAAAGCATAACGGAAATAAATCATTGGGTCGATAATAAATGTAAGCCTTCATTTTGTTAACCATCTCACAATAATTTAGTTTCAAAACCATAATAAACACTTGTGAAAAATTAATAAAAAAATAATAATAAAGATTACATCCTTCTTTCTTGTAACTAATTTTGTGGTTATGGTGCATTTTTTGATAATATGCTGTTTAAAGTTGGAATAAATCTCACAAGGAATCTCATATTTCCTACCTGTGTGATCCAGCAAACCATTTCAAGCTAATAGGTCATTATTAACATTTTAGATAATCTAAGTTTTGCTACTTTCACTGACTTCAACCAGTAGCTTTTAATAATTTAATAAACAATGAATAATGATTTAATATTTAAATATTTTAAAGATATGCCTTAATTCCAGGTCATTTTTATTTTACATAAAATAACAAATCTAAGTCATCCTTATTGACATAATCAGTAGTAATAATATTGTGCCTATATATTATATAAAATATGACATTAATCTAATACTATCCAACTGATTTGTGTGATATTTCCTAATGAAAATATATATTTTTTTCTTTTCTAGGACATGTTTATTAAAAAAAAATAATAATAATTTAATTATAAACGGTTTTAGTCTTTATTAATACTTCCATCTGCAGTGTCTGAAAGCAGTGGTGCTGTGGGCTGTCAACATGATCATTTTAGTTTTTGCTTTGGCGTGACAGCCAACTGAGTAACTCTCACATGTTCTTTAAGCACCTGTCTTTTACATTGCATCGTATTGTATTAATTCTGCAATTGTGAAACAACAGGTGAGTACAGACACACTATCAAATCCTTGTTTTGCTGGTCAGTTCTGGTCAGATGTTACGGGTATTCTTAATTGCTTTGGTGCATTTCTCAGATCAGACCAACTTCAGACAGCCAGAAAAACAAAATGTGAATATGCGATTTTATTCTGTGTTTGGAAATGTCTGGCTTTAACTTTATATTCTCATGCATAAAATAGAAATTCTCAAAACGACTTGTTCTGCCTTCAAATCATTGTGTCACTTCTGCATGTCAAACAAGCTGTTTTCATTTATAAGTTACAAAATTCTTTGCTGTATCCAGGCAAGTGATGATGCACAATTGTTGATCAAAATGCATTATATGGGTCTGTGGAATTAAAACAAACTGGGCTTCATACACATTACAATAATATATTTTACTGCAATGTGTTCAAAATGGATCTTACCATACATTTTATCCCAGAAAAAGGTAATCACTTGCTAACAATATCTAAAATAAGAATTAAAAGTAGAGAGCACTTAAAATGTAATTGCTTTAATTTCTAGAATTTGGTTCTAAATAACAGGGCAGCCTGTGCTTGTCAATGCATGCTCTGTAACGGTACAGACAGAGTTAAGATTAATGGCCAGTGGCTCTCTTATTTCCTTTTGTGCATGCAATCAGCTGTCCATCTGGCTTGCTTGGCTGTTTCTTTCTTCCAACGAATGGTTGTCACTTTTGTTTCTTTCAAATAACAAAGAGGAAGTGAAAAAATGTTTCCGTGGCATGTTTCAATAGCTATCCCTGCATTTTGGTAATTTGGAGCTTTACTCAAATCCAGCCATGCAAATTGAAATTAAACTATAAAAAGTTACTTTTCAGGAGAAAGAAGGCATTGGATAAATGGCTTCTCTTTTTTTTAAATAAAGCAATCTAGTGCATTTTTATAAAAAAATAAAAGTAAATCAGAGTCTGACTGCATATTTTTTGATGCTTTGTAGGTCAATACATGCTATGGGTCCTGCTAGGATTACAACCTGCCAATATGTTATTTAAAATGGGTTAAGTTACATTCCAAGCACATTAAATAAAAATGAAAGCTTAAAAAAAAAGTCATGTCCTATCTGTACACTCTATTACTGCTACTACTATATTGTATTTTTTAAGCTGTTTTGGCTGAAATTTTAACTTTAAACATGAATGAGTGTAATCAATCTGAACTGCTCCAGTTTTCATCAATGATGGTGTATTCTCAGTGGTCGCTGTTTTTGTGGTGTCGGATTTAAGTCAAGCTGTGTTCATAATCCTCCTGGTTAAGGTCAAGAAGGTTAATTGGGGAAAAGGGAATCCATGAAGGGAAAAAAAGGGAAAGTGGGAAATCATCCAGAAGACAGGTCTATGATGAAAGTGCGGAAGATGGGAGCAGACAGAAAAAAAATGCAAGAAAAAAAAAGAAAAAGTTGCCTGAGATGTACTTACGTCGTTCCAGAATAATACATTTTACGCACAGACAACTTCTTGCTTGTCCGCAAACCACGTCGATGTTAACGCGTCAGAAAAATCAGAGAAAAAGCATTTGTTAAAATATGTATCGAGGGCTAACGTGCTATATTTTAGTTCACTGCGTGGTTGGATTGAAAAGGATGTCTCATGATATTTAATACTCTCACTGGGTAATTCCAAAAGCTGACACATAATCGATCAGACAAGGAGGGCTTCAAAGAGAGTGCCGCTTCAATGAAAACAAGATTACCAAAGGGATTACTTTTGATCTTTTCTGCCACCACATACTCTCGGTATGTCAGCTCCTCTACATCTAAGTTACTCAAGGCAAACTAGACTCATTTTCCATGCAGAGTCAGAGTAAATGTTAAGCATAATTTGGTCTTCATTGCCGCCAACCTTTTGGCTTTAGTGAGAACTGCACACTCAAGCAACAAGAAGACAGCATCTCAGGAAAAGCTGGACGTGGATTTGAGAAACATAATTAAGGTCTAACAGTAACACACTGCAGGAATGGTGAGTGTTTTGGGGGAGAGAACACTGCAGCACAAGGGACCACCAAGACCCCCTCTTGCATAGTGTCATCTCCTACTGGGTGGGTTGGAACAGCAAACCTTGTCATCTCTACCCTCAGAAGACCCCAAAGAGTTGCCAGAGTTGTGTGTGCAAGTCTAAGAAACTTATTCTTAGAGTCTTTTTTCTTCTAGCTGACAGATCGAGAATGTTTTATCATTATTTGTTATACAAGTTGAAGCTAAGAATGATATTCTGTTTGATTCTGTTTTTCCAGACTGAGTTGATTTGTAAATCTCCCTGCTATGAAACTATTGCTGTGACATCTTTTATGTTTGAAAGTGCGATCGTTTTGATGGGCCAAAGATTTGAGGAATTTTCTCTGAATCTGTATGAAAACCACATCTCATAAAGTTAGATGAGCTGGACTTGCTTTCCCAGTCAGTATAACCAGGATGGTGGTTATACCATCGGATTGGATCTAAATCTTTCTGAAAACATGGACCAATTTAAGAAGTTAATAGTAAATAAAAGATTATTTCTGCTACATTAACAACAGTTGTTGGGATTTATCAATAATCATGCTCTTTGTGATTTTTTCTAAATATACTGAATATCAGGTTTGGGTTAAACAATGTAAAGTGAGATTCTGCTATTGGGACTGAAAGTGAATTTATTTACATTTTTGCTATTTATTGGGGCCTCAAAAAATTGCTCAGACACTGTATGTTGACTGAATATCTTAAAGTTAGTCGCTAACTGTTTCATCCAATCTAAAGTTGAACTTCAGAAAATGTTATAATAGAATCCTGTTGAAACAGAAGAAGAATCAGCCAGACACATGCAGCATTTGTAAATCTTATTATTGAACAATAGTCACAATACAACATCAACAATGCCTTGCTAGTGACAGGTTCTAATAATCCCAATATATTGTATAGTTACTTTGTAATACATTATTGAGAGGCACTTCCAGTAAGTCTGGCAATAGAGGAACTACAGTATTGTGTCTAAATTACAAAACAGTAAAAATAAATATTATTTCTAAAAGTTCCTTTTTTTCTTTGTCATAATATATTTTTAAATCTGTACAGTATATATTTTTATACAAAGTCAAACAATAGCAAGAAATAAAAAGTTATATTTTCCTTAAATACTGGTGAATCACACAATTTTCCCCCAGCCTGTAGGTATTGCTACATGAGTCAAGTGCAAGATACTAGAGAGAAAAGATAAAGAACTGAGTCAGTGAAGTGACTGCAATTGCAGAAAGAAAACATACCAGCCTTGTCTTATTTTACAGATGGCGGAAGAAAATTGTTTTGGTTTTGCTTGAGACAAATGTGGAAAGCCTTAAAACAGTTTGTAGATACATGTTCATGTGAAAATGTTATGGCACACGAGAGAAGACCCAGTTGAACTTAGCAGAAGCAACAAGCTGAAGAAAAACAGAGTTTTTTTTCTTTCTTTTTTTTGGTTTGCGATGCCTTCAGTCTGTGAAGAGTTGGTGAGTTGTTGTGCTACCAAAGTCCACTAACATGAGAGTGAAAGAATAAATCAATTAAAGATACTAACACTATAAGCAGTGGTCTATTAGATAACTGCTGACAGTTTTTCATTCAGTTTAATCTGCGTTTACGTATAACAACAAAATGTGTATATAATGTATACATATCCCAACATCACAAGGTTCTACGTAACAATGTAAAGAAGAAAAAAAAAGAAAATTAGTTTAGGGCTCATTTTGTGCAAATCACCAAAAACTGCAAAGCTCAAAAGTACTTCTTTGGTTTGCAGAAGTAAATCCAGTTGCAACAATATGTCAAACAAAAGACTCATATCTTAATAAAAATTAAGAAGCATGGCTCTGATTAGAGACTATGTTCTCTTCTGATATGGAAAACAATTAAAATAAATAATGAATAATGTCATAATGGAGAATTAAGATGACTAACATTGAAAAAAGAAATACAGATAAGTGAAAAACAGGTTAAATTGCTAAGAAGAGTTGTCATAAATGCCAAAACAAATTAAACAATTTTTATGTTTCATAAGGTGGAATAATTACCAAATTGTTTTTTTTTTCTTTTTGTATCTTAAAGTTTTAAAAAGACAAAAAGAACTAATAAGCTATTAAAAAAAAAAAGAATTGAGAACAAATCATGATTGAAAAGTTATACTTAGAGGGCTCATATTATCCAATTTAGCACAGTTTTGAAAGTACTGAGAACAACTGAATCCTCGTTGGCGTTTCTATTATTTTCCAAAAAAGACAACTCATTTTAAAATCCACCCTTTTGACACAAAATATCTTTTCAGAAACATGACTTTGTAAACCAAAAGGTCAACTACCAGGTATGAGCAAGTATGTGCTCTATGCGAAATCCAAACTTACTTACCTATTTATTGGAAAAGCAGGAGAAAGTAAGCACAGGTTAATTTCTCCTCATCAACAAAAATAAAAACAACCTCTCTGTTCAAAACACTTTTCACCCCAGGATTAAAACTTTGACCGACAAAAACACAACGCAGTTTATACAGGTACCATAAATTGCTATAGTGAAGTATGCAGCCATATAATTGTGTTATTTGTGAACTAAAATAAATCTCTGCAGGAGTACTTTGTTGTTTTACTCAGTTTCCACTTTCATTTGGCCTTTGGCAGGCCCAAGCATCCACTGATATCAGCTGATTCAGTTAAATTTAATCAGTTAAACTCTCTCTAAACTTTTCTGCAGGGTTTTACTCACCACAGCAACAATCTTTTTCTGTGTCTGAGCCAAAAGAATAACAGCTTTGATTTCAGTACTTTGACTTTTAATCACTAAACCAGAAGGGTGTAAGAACCTACACCCTTCTTACATGAAGGCTGACTTTTAGGCCCAAACAATGTGTTTAGGTAAAGTAACTGTAGACAAACTTAGAGGGGCCTGACAGACAATAGTCTGTCATAGTGATAAAGTAATATAATAGTGACATTAGTGAAGTTAAACCTTCAAAGCATTGATATTGTGTAGAAAAGTGAGACTTTCAGATGGCTCCATTCACTCGTACTATGTTTTATAACAAACGCTGCATAGTTTTCTTATTTCTTGTGCTTTGGTCACACTGTTGTTACCCTAATTCTTCCTTTTACCGGTCAAATCCAAAGACAGTACGGACTGAGACAGTCCACCACAATGCTGGTCAGAACCGGAGCAAAAATTACATCTAGCCAAATTATAATAGAATTTTAATTTTTGAAAACACAAATTTTGTCACAAGAATCTATAGCTATATTTACACCACTGTGGTAAAATTACAGGCAATGACCATATTTCGACCAGACTTCCTCTACTTCACTGGACAAATTGCCAAATAAATCTATGCCTGGAAATTTTTCTGTTTCCTTTTTGGAATTGGCTGGCCATAGTGTTATGCATTATCTGGCTGGGTCTTGTATTCTTTATGTAATGCCATTACTCGCTAGCAACTTCTAGCTTCATTCTTAGTTTTGCAGAGGATGTTGTGCTGCATCACTTTGCCACAGAAGTTGTAACACAGAGAGATGTACAAATGTTCTTTTTCAAGTGTTTTTTGTTTGTTTGCTTGTTTTTGCATATTTCTTGACTTTGAACATCAAAATAAAATAAATATCTAATAGTTACATTAAGAAAACCACCTTTGATGCAGAAAAAATACTGCCTGGATGAAGTTATTTTACCAGAATATTGCGCTGCACCAAACTGACGAGCAGTGTTGTGGACTTCACTTATTTTGATCACATGGCTGACCTTCTTAGATGGAGGTAAAACAAAATGTTTGGTAAATGTAATGTAGCTACTTAGCTACGTTTTTGTGGTGGAGGTCTTAAAAATAACTTACAAATTTACCGATTTTTATTTTTTACTCTAAGAAATATGTTCATCTAGCAATTTCTCAGAAATTGTCTTTAACATTAAAATTATACATCATCTTACTCTGTATGCTTAGTTCTCATGGTCTGGGGGAAAAAAGTGCTGTATGACACTCAAAAGATATTTTTTTCTATATGTACAAGGAATTAATCATTTTGCAAATCTGTCTGCTCTATTCAGCTTTTTCAAGGCTCATTTGACATTACAGGTAAATAACATTTATTTCCTTTAGTTGTTTATCAAACAGGTTTTTAACTCTAAATGGTTGTGAAACAATTCAACATGGATTGGACAAATCTCCAACTTATGGAGCAAGATATAAGTAGTGCAGAAAATCAAATTGCTTCAAACTTGTTTTCTAAAAAAAAAACATAAATCTGCTCTTTAATGGTTACACACAATATTGAATTTAAAAGGCTAAAATATCAAAGTGATTCTTTAAAGTTAATTGTTATTATTCATTAAAAACACACACAAGTCAATTTAGAAATATTTTGTCACACTAAATACAGAATTAAAACTGCTCTTTAACTGAACTTTTACATTGTAAACTGGATGCATTCCAGAGGTAATTTCTTTCTGTTTATTCTGCTTAATGCCAAGATGGCTCCACTGGGGGGGCATATCATTACGACTCCCACACCACCTTAAAAAACATTTGCATCATATTTGCAAATATTTTTGTAATTCCACTGGCCATCTCTGGCTAGTAAAAGTTTAAATGTGACAAAAAGCATAATAAATCTCCAAGGAGACGTCTGTCTTTCACAACACTTAGTAAGTGCAACTCCAGTCCATTCGTTCCTGCTGCTTCTTCAAAACACTGATCCACACATTTGAATTTCTGAGGACTTGCACAAGCAGAGCTCCAAACATAGGCAGACTTAAATCTACGCATACATATGTGTGATTAAAAAAAACACATATATCTGGGAAATCTTTTAAATGGAAACCCACATTTTGATCACAGCTTTGATTGCTTCAAGTCTCTTTGATTGTTGCACTGTACAGTTGGAGAAGAAAGACATGTTTTGTCTCAGAGAGTTTTATACTTCGAGGCTATTCAAATTTAAGCTCTACAATGGAAAGAGAACATAAAAAAATGTCTGAATATTGACTTGGAGCTTTGGATGGAAATGAGGTGTAATGTATTACATGTTGTGTGCTGAAATGTCATTTTTTTCCCCTACAGGTTTGTGGTTACGTTGTAATATTTCAAGTTCAAAAGGTTCCTCTTTTTATTTTTTTGATTGTTTAAGGGCACCCTTATCTGTATGTCAAGGCATTACAAAGATAAAGTCCGAGGAGATTAGTTCAGGGAGGTATTTTGGATCCAAATGAACATGATTTACATTTTAGTTTTCTTACTTTGCCAATTGTTTTTTTTTTTTTTTTTTTCCCTTGACGTCCTCAGATTAAATTCCCACATGTTGCTTTTCACTGTTTTATGCTGTCTCAATAGCAGGTCCTTGGAATGTCTTGTAGGTTATAATAAAGAAAAAAATCTATATCTAAGCCTTTTGGATTTACATGCAAACAAAAACAATAATCAGATGGTGCGATTGTTGTGGACTTCCTAATTTATAGTGTAACAAACAGTCTCAAGGGTATTATGTTGTACATTTTAGCCCTCCTGTGTATTAATGGGCATTTTCATAACAGTGCAGTTGATACAGCTAAATATTTCTACAGCATTACAATAGTATTAGCAAACAGTAAATGAGTAAGAAATTTTGTCACATGAAGCAAGCATGTTTAATAGACTGCATAAGTCTCTTTGGTAACACTTTATTTGACAGTTTGTGAATAAGACTGTCACTTTAAAAATTAGGTAGCTTTATGTAAGCTAAAGTTTAATCAGTAATACATTTGTAACACATTTACGTTAGATCATAATTTATTGGTTAAAGTTGTCCTAACAAAGACATTTTGAATGTCACCTTTGTATTAAAAGTGTCATAATTTACCGAATGACACTTTATGACAACAGTCATAAATATTTATGAAGACTTACTCATGTTCATGACAGGTGTTGTGTCATGTTTATGACGGTGTCTTATTCACAACCCGTCAAATAAAGTGTTACCGTCTCTTTTTTTAATTGAGAGTATTTAAAAACATCAGCCTGACTGCTTAAAGGGCATGTATGCTGTATGTCAGGTAGTTAGTACTGATCAATCGTTACCCAGCAACTCACCTGCTATATGAGAGCTACAGGGGCTCCGACCGTCAATACTCACGGTTATTACCTGTTATCTCGCTCCTCAGGTTATCATACAGTAGAAAACTCCCTGCTGTTTGATTGCTTTAGACATCGAATACAATCACTCTTACACTCACCAGCAACTTTATCAAGTTTGCCTTGTCAATCAATGCAAGGTTTGACCTCCATGCATTTTAAATCTGACAGCTTAAACACGATATGATGTAGTGATAGCTTCCAAAGTTCCTGCACATCCCTGATGCTATAGTCCTGGTTCACCACATCCATTGTGATGGATGGAAATCTGGTGACTGAAGAGGCCTCTGAAGTACAGTGAACGCAATGTCATTCCAAAAAAACAATTTTGAATGACTTGAGTCTTGGGACATAGTTTATTATCCTACTAGGAGTAGCCATTAGAAGATGGGTTCACTGTGACCATAAAGGGAAGAACTTGTATTCAGTCAATCACTGGTTGTAATGTTGGGTCATTTGTCTACTCACTCTCCCCCCAAAAAGCATTTTCGCTGACACAACTACCTCCCCCTTTAGACAATTCTCTGTAAACCTGATAGATGTTTGTGATAATGGCAGTAGATCAGCGCTTTCTAAAATACTCTTACCATCAAGTCTGAAACTAACACCAACAGCCTTTTTAATCCCCTTTTCTTTCCCATTGTAACCCCAGTTTGAACTTCAGCAGGTTATCCTCACAGCGTTTAGGGCCTAAATATAACTGGCTGATGAATTACAAGTGTTATCAAGAAATTGATTGAGTGCACTGAGTGCACTAAAGTGTCTGAGTGTAATCTGCTTTGCCTTCGTCTCGAGTCAGCTGCAACCCTCGTGGAGCTAATAGTCTTTCAGCTGTAATTATGATTCTGATGGAAACTACTTGTTGCTGCTATGTGAGTGAAGAAGCTAAGTTGCCTCAAACCTCGTCCGATACTTTTCCAATGTCAGTTTAAATAAGCTGTAATGCTTGTTTCTGTTAATAGCTCGGAAACACAGATCATCACGGTTTTGACTTCGAACCAAACTGGATCTTCTTCAAAGAGCAGCATCTAGAGCAATCTTCTAAAATATTAAGATATTTAAGACCCTGCTTTACCCTTCATGGAAAGCTACATGTAATGCTAAAAGGTTCCTCTCCCTTTTCTCATATCTCCACAGTTTCCTCACTAAGCCTCATTACTTGGGGCTGTTCTTCGTGTTCACGCTGTCCTCCATCATCACCAATCAGAATTTCTGAGGACATCAAAGGAAAGCATGAGCACCACCTGTCAGGCCATATGCTATGATATAGTTACACTCAAACAACTGCTGGGTTATTACTTTAACTCAAGTCCTGGGTTCATACTGTAGGGAAAGAAGATTAAACAAAAACTGGGTCAAAAATTTAGAGTTGAAAAAAAAAAAGAATAAATCCTCAAAGGTTCGCAATTTTGCAAAATAAAAGGTTAAGATTATTCTGGATAACAATGTCAATGTCAGTGGGGTTTGTTATGACTTTAATTCACACAAGAACACAAGTTTGTTCACTTAATCTAACATTAGCCTTTTACTTGCTCATTGCCCAATAGCTACTTTTACCAGGTACGGCAACCGAATGCTAGATATATTCGACGTTCATGCTTTGATCAAATTAATATTCTACACAGTGTTGCATTCTGAGAATGACATTTACTGTTTGAAATGGTACTATCAGTGGCCTAAAGTTTTCAATATTTATTACATTTACTAAGTCAAAAAAGTAAACAAGAAGGTTGTAATAAATGGCTATGACATATGGTTTGTTTACAATGTATAAGTAATGGATAAAGGGTTCAATTTGTCAGGATATACTACTAACCTGTCCGGAAAGTAGCTCATTGACTGCTACAGACAGGCCACATGCAGCCCTGCAAGGATAGCGTTTAGAATGAACTGAATAATTTCATTATGTAGATACAAATAATATATCTTATTTGAATATTACTTTGTTTAGTTGTATTTTCTTTATTATCTCTTCAGCACTAGTGTTAGTCATTAGCTGCTTTGACTTATTTTGGGGGTAAAAACCTAACATTGTATGCTGCGTGAAAACAATGGTTAAACCCCATCGTGTGAAATAACCTTCAGACTGATAGCAAAATAATGCTAATAGTGTTGTTTATAAACCAGCAGTTTTTAGAGTGTAAGGTATAATCAGAGGAACCTTTCTCTACAGGACGAGTGTCAACTTTGAACAAAAATGTTAGTCTCTGTTATTTAAAGTGCTTACATCTCTTATTCTGTTTTATTTTTCTCTCCATGCTACTATTGAAACTGGCTACATATACATGCTACTTAAATTCCCTTTACCTTTTTTTTTTTTTAAATATAAAAAAGGCTATAATGCCCTTGTTTAAAATCTGACATCTAGACATTTTCTTGTTGGTGCGCAGCGCCTAATTGTTGCCGTCCGACCTTCCAGGTCTAGAAAGTCTTCTATGTAAATCTTGGGTGAACTGGCCCTGTAACTCGGCACTAGCCTAGTCCACCACAGCAGTGTACTCTATATTTGCGAATATTTCACCAAACTGCCAACGTTGACATTCTTTTGTTTTTTTACTCCATTTTGGTTCCTGCTAGGCTGTACAAATCCAGCCCAACATTCACGGATATTTAAAGGAGATAGAAGCAAACAGATGAAAGAAGAAGCAGAGAGAAATACAAGGACGAGGACATTAGAAATCCTTTTGTGATTCTAATTCTGTCTTCCTGAGTTGTTCAGCCTGAAAACACGTTGGTGTCTGTGTGGACCGAGCGACCAAAAATTAGCAACAATAAAAAATAAAAAACAGGGAGAAACTGAATGCTAAAATTTTGTTTCGTGAGATTTTCCTTGAGCAAGAATAAAGCTTTTGGAGCAACAAGGTCCTTTTTTAAACTTCTTCTCTGTTTGGAGTGTGGAATGTGAGTGTGATTGTGTGAAACTTGCGTGGTCCTCTGATTTTTACACAATACCACTGGCTCTTTCTTCAGTCTCCTTTACGCCACATGACTGCAGACAGCCTTTTCCCTGACTTTCACCCCATTGTCCTGAAGAAAGGGCTTGCTGCACACCTTCAGCAAGCTGTGTTGGCTACACACGGTGTTAACAAAATGGGAGATGCAGGAAGAGCGTCTGTTGGCCCATTAGTGCACAAGGGACAGCCTGGGAGAGGGCAGGGCTCCAGATCCAGAGTAAGCTTGAAAAGTAAAAAAAAAAACAAATTTAAGTCTGTTTTTCACAGTCACCACTCTGTTTCTACTATTTCCTCATCTTTTGCTGATCTCCTCATCAGATGTCCTGACTATGTGTCATCCCAGTCCTCAACCCTGATTTTGTTAGGCACATTTTACCCAAAACATCTTCTACAGTGTTGTGTCAAAGTGATGTGCTGGCTACCATACAAAGAGTTTGGTTAGGAAAAAAAACAAAAAAAACGTTTTCAAACAATGGTCAAGATTCCTGGTTTAAGAGGAGGTTCAAGTTTATAATCTCATTCTGGAACGTCCTCTTTTTCTCCTGAGGTCTCTGATTGTGGAAGGACTTCATCTTCCTCCGCTGCCGCCATCTCTTCTGCTTCATCGAGGTCGTCGGCTGACTCCTCCTCTTTGCTCGCCTGCTCCTGCTCCTCCTCCTCCTCGCGGATTGCTGTGATTGAATCAACAGGTTTGTCTAAGCAGTTGGCCTTCTCTTCTTGAGTCTCCTCTGATGCTTCGGCTGCAATCACACGTTTCCACATTTCATGGTTTTCCAGGAGATGCTGTGTGATCTGACAAAAGACCTTCCGTCTGCGCAGCTTTTTGTCTTCTTGCCGCTCTGTGGAAACAAAAGAAAAACTTGCCAGCTAAGTGACTGAAGAAAAAATATGGCTTTCAGTACTTTGTAAAAAAAATTACAACCATTTGCTGACCATTTTCTTTTTCCATTCATCATGGCAGTGCTAAAATAATGTATTTTAATGATTGTTACTATTACAAGGAAGTATTAGGGCTAGTATATAGAAAAAGGAAAAGAGTATATTTTTGCAAAAAAAATTTAGATTTGAAGATTCAATTCATATTTACATAGAGAAATTTGAATATTCTCTATCAAAAAGTCTTACATTTGCAGAAAAAAAAATCACACTTCCCCATTATCAAAAACAAAATTTTACACCATTAGAACTAGCATGTATCTGACACTGCGAAGTCAGACATTTGGAAAATGTACAGAATGCAGTTCTAGCCATATAAGTTATTGCCAGAAAAAAAAAAAAAAAAAAAAACGGCAATGATTGTTTACATACTTTTGATCATCACTTTTCCTGATTTCGTTTCGGGGCTTTTTCTTTCAAAGTACAGGATTTGGTATATAGCGGAGAAATTGTATTGTCTTGGTGCAAAGACACAAATGATATGTTTGGAGATTTATAGTTATTTATAAATCTCCAAACATATCAATATGATATAATGAAGTCATTTTACAATATTTCTTATGTTTGAAAGATGTTTTACAAGACCTTGTCATATAATGCATTGAATGTGCTTGAGGAGTCAATATTTTAAGCATTGACCATTGTTCCCCAAAAGATATCAAATTTAAGTATGAAAATCTTTATGGAACAATAACTGTTTGTGACATACTTTGTCAATTTTTCTTTTTCCATAAATATCACTGCTAAATGAGTTCTATTAATTTGGATGCAGACATACGGGACCCATCGGAACCGGTTGACGCCTCCTCATCCGCCGTGTCCTCCTCTTCTGTATCTTGTCCTTCTTTTTCCACATCTATCTCAACCGCCTCTTCAGACAGGTCCACCCAGCGCCCTGGCATGAGAGCAGCAGAGTCATAGGAGGAGCACAGTGGTCCCACTATGTGGGAGATGAATGACTGCTGTAGTTTGGCGAGTTGGGGGGCAGACCGGTCCATGAATGGGCTGATAGGAAGGCCTAAAGTTGCTTCTTCATCACCCTGGAAGGATGCAGAGAAAGAAACATAAAAGGGAGAGAAAATATAAAATATAGAAGGACTGGAATAATAAACATGTGCATATTATTTAATAATTGTACTTTGACTGAGCCAATATTTTATTTCACTTTGTTGGAGAAATTGTGATACAATCAATCAAATATTTGTTATTCTCATTGATCTTTATAATGTATCTTTATTTTATGCTTTCCTTTAAGTTAATCTCATTATAGAATTAAGAATGTTTCTTGTATTGTTGATTTGCTCTGATTCCTTTCTCAGAAGGCCTCACTGATGGAAAGCAGAGATAGTGTTTTCCTGAAGGGTTATCTTTTGGTGAAGAGCTCTGCTTCGTCGAGTTGCTGGAATGCTATAAAACTGTCACTGTGAAGAATCACAGTATATTCTGCTAGACTTTGTGTCAGGAACGAGATTATCTAGTCCAGAATAATTTGTGTATTAGTTAGTAAATGACAACTGGCGCTGTAGCTATGTGATGAATTGTTTTCCCCTCCCTTTGGAGCTGCAGCGTCCTTGTGATTAGGGATCCTGAAACAATAAAAAGTGAGGGGCGGACAAATGTGCTTCAGAGCGGTAGGAGATTGTGACTGAAGCACATCTCTGTCCGTTCTCCTCGCGAGTAGCAAGAATACCAACTCTGTTTGTCTTTTCTATCTTTATTAAGTATGTTCAACAGGTGTTAACCTTAACACACTTAATTAAACCTTTTGACAGTGATCATAAATATATTGCACAGCAAATATCCACAACTTCCAAACTGCAAGATGACTGCATTTCTTTTAGCCACTCTTCAAAAGGAGAGAGACAAGACAACATATTATCCAAGTAAATCAAGAAAAGGCAGAAAGAGAATAACTTATCACCAAAACTCTCCAAATGGTTCTCAAAGGATCAATAAGTGAAGGATCTCTCTCCCATCACGGATCCTACGGTGGAGGATCCATGATGCTGTGATCCTGTTTCTCTTCCGACGGTGAATACATGATGTCATGAACATTATAAAGTAACAGAACATTTTATTTAACTGTACTGTTACTTGGAAATGGGTTTGTTATTGTGTCTTTGAGCACAACAATGATTCAGAATATGTGACCCAATTACAACAGAACACTTGACAATTTACAGCATAAACATTCTCCCACGATCACCACAATCCCAAGCCCTGAATTGTACGGTAGAGTCTTTGCACACACACAATAAAAATGGCCTTTATCTCTGAATGCTCTAGCCTTGTGCAATTTTAGAAGATTCAGTGTTTTCTTACTGGCAAAAGGGATTGTAGAAAATTTAAACAGTGGGTAACAATAGGTGCAGGTAATTAGGTAAAAAATAATAATAATAAACCATTATTTCTTCTGTTGGCTTAAAAATAGATGTCATTTTTAATTTTTTTGTGCAACTTTGGCAGTGGTGCATGTAAGATTAAAACTGTATCAAATAAATAACGCGAAAAAACATTCAGCCAACTGTGGGTAAACTCTATCTCTGAAATATTATGAACTCGGCTGTCAAGCACTGAGAGTCCCAGATACACAGCCCCCGGATACAGTCGCTGGAAAATAGGTCAAGCAGACTACAAATAGAAAAAAAGATGAGTTCAAAGTATAACTAATCTTTAGGTACCAGCCTAAAAAATAAAACCGTCTCACTGTCGGAGATTTGGTGTAGCCGTGACGACTCTAATCTGCATATTTATTCCCACACGATCAAAACAATTGTAAGCATTAATACTCTGCTTGAAATTTATCTTCCCCCATTTAACAGATTTACTCATCAGCAGTGCGTGAGTCCATCAATTTATTCTGTTTCTCATGCTTGACATGATTCCCACTTCTGCATTTTCTCATTTTTCATTCAACCAACTGCATACATCAGTTGGAGGATTACCTAGAAGTTGCTCTGAAGGTTGAATTCTTGGAACTGCTGGTTTTGTAACTGAACCCAAGATAACAAAACGGAGAAGAAGAAGAAGAAGAAGAAGAAGAAGAAGAAACAAAGGATTATTTTGTTCTGTTCCATCAAATGCTATGACAGTGCAGGATTCTGTTTTGTTGTTTCGTCGGTCTGATGTTACCGCTTTCAAGCTGTACAAAAAGAGGACGGGGACGAGGATTCCTATTGCCATGGCAACCAAAAACCTGTATGGTGTCAGTGTGGAGTACTGGTGGATATTGTATACATGGCATCATGTAGGATCACAGCCTACATCGTTTTATTAGGTATTAGTGGTGTTCGACATGGCGAAGTGGCATTACGCAGGGTGTGAAACAAATGTGTGTTTACATCTCTGACAAGCTGTGTGAATGTCTCTGATCTGTCTCAGCCACTGAATGAGAGCTGTCAATGATGGCACATTTAGGTCATCCTCCCCCTTATAAAAAAAAAAAACACAAATGCACTCCATCTCTCCTTTGATGCCTCTCAAAAGATTTGAGCTCTGCTGAACTGCGGTTTTAAGTTTGTCATGTAAAATTCCACTTCACTGTTAGTCAAAGGAATCCTTTTAAAGCAAATGCCTTTTACATCTTGATAGTAAAAAGTATTTTATAAATGTGTCTTTTGTTTTGTTTTGAGTTTTTTAACATGTGCGAATAACAGAGTTATAAAACTAAACATCCCGGAAACATAGAAACAGCTGCAGCTGCTTCGCAACAAGACTATCACTCCAGCTAATCAGGTTTTATCTCTATGTCCAGGTAGTTCGATGAAGGATTTGTTGCCAAGCATCAGTCGACAATGACAAATTCATGAGCAGAAATGTTCTGAAAATCTGCTTTCATGTGTGATAGGTGCACACAAAAGATTCTTAGTGGAGTGTCCTTAAGCACAAAGCAACTGTAAATCCCAGTCACACGCAGAGATACATGTTTTCTGTGTCTCCCTGAACCATCAGCTCCCTCAGGAGCAAGAGAAATTACCTCTTGTGAGAGAAAGGGAATTTAAAACATCAACCTTGCTTTTCATTCCATCCTTTCCTCTATTAGAAATATCAGAAACAGTTCATGGCAACATGGAATCCATGAGAGAGTTCTAACACGAAAACCCACTGCCAACTAAAAGAACACACATTTGGCAAAACGTGCCTTGATCATCCCCAAGACTTTGCTCAATGTTGTAGAAAACACTGGATCGTAGCTTTAAAATATGCAACCCCTGCATTTTCTTCAAAAAATATATTTTTGTGATTTAATCTCTTTCTGCCGATTAGGCTGCAGATGTTTTCATAAACTCACTTGTTCGTAGAACTCATTGACAATCCCTTCTGTCCACTGCAGATGTAGCTCCTTATTCTTCAACGGTCCATTGACATCAGCTAGCTTGATGCACATCTGGCACACCAGTAATCGGTCATTCTCATTGGTCCAGTCAATGCCAGATACTCCTTCATCACCCACCTGAGAAGAAAGGTGGGCAAAAGAAAACATGTTTGTTATTGAGCAAGATAATCCAGAAAGAGTTAACCAATCAAGCAAGGTTAGGTAAAAAAAAAAAAAAAGGTTATTTACCTTTGCATTAAATTCAGCGAGGAAGTCAAAGTGCTTTTTGAGGTCAGTAGCCAGGATTGCTTCAATGACAAGAAAGCGGAACCGCTTGAACTCCACGTGTTCAAGATTCACCAGGAAGTTGAACTCTGGTCGAGACATGAAGAGGTTCCACGCTGCAGCCGCATGATGGTTTTCCAGCACTGACCTGTCGTTGTACAGAAGAGCCTACAGCAAAAGAAGGGAGGAAAACACACAGCTTGACACAGTGTTCAATAATTCACAGGGCTTCATTAGATTATTACAATAGCATAAGAATGAATTGGGTTTAGCTATTGAAACAATACAGATTCATTTGATTGGTGAAGTGACTTCACAGAATTGTTCTGCTAGAGTTTGTATCTACATTCTATTTGTTATAATGTAATTATGTAGGACTAAAAATACCAAAAATAATGGTAACTTTAGATGAAGAACAGATTGCATAAACTTTTTTTCATAAATAGACAGATGGCCTGATGGGTGGATGGATGATGAACGAACACATGAATGGATGAACAGAAGAATTGATGAATGGATAATAGAAACATGAGTGAAGAGATAAATGGACAAATTACAATGTTAAACTAAATATAGATTTTCCAGACTTTGTAATCTTAGAGATTTGTATAATCATGGCTTTTAGCATAGCTAATGTTTTCCAACTAATAAACATATTGCCGCTTGAGTTTTATTATATTCTTATTTACGTCCTTATTAGTGCAGTTAATCCAAGACTAATCTGCAACCTACAAAGAATAAACCTTTGCCAGTGTTGATCCTGCTCTCTCTGCCATGATAGTACATTCATGTACCTGTGGTGCACTTGTGGCAACCAGAAAGGCGTTTGTTCTTCCAGGGTGGTCGTAGTCATGCATGGCAGCAGCTACATAGAGGGCCATGAGCTCCAGGGCTGGAATTAGGCCAGACAGGGAGCTGTAGCCGTCTTCCAACATAGAGCTCATCTTGGAAACCAGGAAGCCCGGCGCTCTAGACGTAATGTTGTTCACCGAGTCTGGACAAAGCAAGAGACAGAAAATCAACAAAATCCTTTCTCTTCTTTGTTTTACCTGCGGCACTTAAATTAATCATCTGATGGGGAGCTGTAGCTGTCATCATCTTTAACAACTCTGATGGAATCAAGAAATACACTGACAATCATACTAAAACGAGAAAAAAAAAAAGAAAAATAGTACTAGCATAGTTTGCTTTTACACGCTAACCAATATATGGGTTTGCGAGGTTCAACATTTACATTTTGATTAAAGAATTTGTCACTACAGAGAGTTAGGAAACTATACTTATTTCTACTTTGTCTCCTTGCAATATCAATATTATTGATTATAATTTATGTGATTGTGATCAAGGATTCACAGAGGACCTCAAAAATATGTCACATATAATTAGAGTTGAGTATGCATTGTGTTGTCCAGATTCAACTGTTTACCAATGGACGTCCTGCTGGGACATTTTGATGTAGTCATCCATCTGATAGATATTCAATTTGACTGAGGATTTTCATATTTTACATCTATCTGCCTTTGCATCACAGTTTTAGGGTATTTATTTACAGCAAAAAAAGAAACCACTGCCTTAAGAGATCTCAGTTTGACCTGTCTAAATTGGATGTTTTAACTAAATGTAAAGACTAGGGATATCCATAGGAAATGACTATTTATAGACAGCGCACCAGTGTGAATCCCATTCTCAATGGGCAGGATAGGCAGGCCAGGCACAGGCTGCGTGGTGAGGTACCACACGGCGTGCAGCACATCAGTCGCATGGATTCGGTTGTGATCTGAAAGGAAAAAAACCGAAGCACTAATTCACACAGAGGTAGCAGTGAACAAATTCCTGCAGTAAAGCAGCCATTTACAATCACAAACTTCAAGGCAACACAATGATTTATGTGATTGCATAAAATTAATGAAGAGGTTACCAAATAAAAAGTAATCCAATAATTATTTAGTTGGACTGTTTATGAATAACAGTAGAAAGTATACTGTAAATAAAACATGTTCCTAAGGAAGGACTTTTGATTTTGCATTTACAACGCAATGACCTTATTCCAGTAAACTTCTATTTATGCCCCATATTTAATGGGATACATGTTGATGTCCCACTTTAAAATGAGTTCTCAGGCCCTCCAGATGTACTTACACAAAGCTTTGAGGAAGAAAACATATTCAGAACGAGTGTGATTATGCCGTAGCAAAAATAACTTCATGGATTTCCATCATAGGATAAAAAACCTTGACTATATTGAGTGAAGCCAAAGCTCATATACAATTTTAATACTGTACATGGGCGATTGCATTATTATTCACCCCGGTTGAGGCCCAACCGGGGTGAATAATAATGCACCCCTGTTCCATTAGTCTATTAATAGTAATAGACTCATTATTATGACTCTATAATGATTATAGACTCATAATATTGAGTCTAAAATCATTATTAATATAGTCTCATAATAGTAGTCTCATTATGAGCGCAGTGAGAGCAATAAGACACCGATTATTGGATTATTGTATAAAGACACCTGTGTCTGGACTTTTCCATTTACTGAATAATGTTATATTATTATTTTCATTCTAGCTATTAATACAGCATGAAAACAAAAGAACACTGTGAGGAAATCAGAGAAAAGGTTACAGAAAAGTATAAGTCAGGGGGTGGATACAAACAATCTCCAATGCACTGAACATTCCTCGGGTTTCAATTAAATCCTTCAACAAGAAATGGAAGGAATATTCACAAACTGAATGATCGTGCAAGAAGGAGACTACTGAAAGAGGCCACTATGACAGCTCTGACTACACTGACGAAGTTACAATCTTCAGCAGACAATAGCTGTAGCCCAGCTTTTCACAATTTAAAGCTTTATGGGAGAGTGGAAATTAGAAAAGCACTGCTGACAAAAACTCAGCAGGCTCAAATAGACTCCATGGTCAGGTAGAAGAAAGTTCTTCAGTTTTATGAGACCAGATGCAGCTGAGGACAAATTGTTTCCATCTGCAAGATGTTCTCCTCAGAGATTATTTATTTTCCAGCAAAAATCAGTTTGAAGAATCCAACTGAAGCTGCACAGAAATTGAGTTAAACTGAAGAGTCCAGATGTGCAAGCCTGATTTGAAACCTATCCACAGAGACACCATACTGGCATTGCAGCCAATGGTGCATCTACTAAACACTGAATCAGATTTTCCTTTGACGAGGTTTTAGCTTGTAAATGTTCTTTGTGAAAAAAAAAAAACATGAGTATTTTTCATGAAAAAAGGTACATTTGGTTCATTGATTTCCAAAAGCAGAAAGGGGCAAACCCTCTAGGCGGTTGAGTATTTTTCCATAGACACTGTATCTTGCACATTATTGCAGTCCTTTATGGTATTTTATCTTCTACCTAACTAAAGTCAGTGCATTGAACATCTAAATATCTAAACTCCAATTAAAAAGCTCTGCTAACCCCTGCTGTTGATTTTGTTTTAAATATTTTGATGGCTGTGTGAGTGTATATTAATGGCTAAACTTTCAATAAATTAAAAAGATCCGTGCTTAACTTCATGTCTGCAACCTACTTGCAGAGTTGCATTAAATACACAGACTGAATAGATCAGGTGAGGGAGCGTTATTACATGAGCAATGCATCCACCTTGTGGCTGCTGAAGGTATTGCTGCACTTCTTTTTTTAAAACCGTGTTTGGATAGTCTACTCACAAGGTATATCCCGGTAGCCATTCTCCAAGGCATGGAAGTAGTTCATAAACTCTTTAATGGGAATCTTGAAGGTCTCAAACAGGTTAGTGTCCTCAAAAAGCCGATAGGTGACCTGAGAAACAAGAACGTAATCACCATTGAAAGTCTGAATAAGTGTTTACAATACTCCCCTCAAATAATTTATCAAGCTATCTAACACAGAATGTCAACCTGTAAGTCTTTTAACACTATTCACTAAAGTATTAGGAAAGATATATTAAATTCATGTGCCTTGATTATCTAGTTTATTCAACAATTCATGGCCCTTCTGATGTTTTATTGATCTGCAATAGAGCTGGAAAGCAGCTTGAGTTCTCAGACAGGTCTGAATGAAAAAACAGAGATTATTCCACATAGAAATCATCTCTGTCAAATAGATATCTACAAATAAAAATGTAAAAATCAATGCAGGCACAAGTATTCAGCTCTCTTCTGTAACTGATACCACTACAATCCAGTACAACTAATTACCTTAATAATTGTCTACCTGTATTTAATTCAGTCTCATTATATAAACAGCTGTTCAGGGAAGACGTGTTAATGAACAAACAGCGGGAATTAAGTATATTGGTTCAAGAAGACTTTATTTAAGTGTAACAGATTTTTTTTTCCTTTCTTTTTCCAAAGCTGTTTTCTTAAAATGTTCAAGTGCAAACAGCTGCTGCTACCCTCGCTGGCAGCTCCCTAGACTGCAAATTTAGTTCAAAGTAAATTCAAATCATGCTATTTAATGTATTGGCAATTTAGAACATTTTAACTGTGGTGTAAGTAATGCTTCTCCTCAGCAGAGGCAAAGACAAAGTTGATGGGAAGATAGGTGAAGCTAAATACAGAGTTACATTGGAAGAAATCCATCTGAAAATCTGTGGCAAGACTTAAAAATGAATGTTTTTAAGTCACACATTAAAACTTTTTCATTTTCATTTCTAAAACCTTTTAAAAGTTTCTATCATTTTTCCTCTAGTTATCAATTGTGTTCCAACTTACATCAGTCCACACACACACCATTAGATTCCAATAGTCAGTGAATATTGCGGCTGAACAGAATGTGGACATTTCTATAACTTTGCAGCCTTTCATTTGGTTACATTTCTTCATCCTAAACATCGTTGTTTTTACCTGGCTGAGGATGCAGCCTGTTTTGCCATGAGTCTTCTCCACAAGGCTGAAAATGGGGAAGTTCCAGTTGTTGAGCTGACTCATCAGGGGTTCCAGACCCGGCATCACCGGACTCTCCGGGGCAGACACTGACTTGTCCTGACAGGTGAATGTGAAGCCAGACACAGCTCTTACTCTGTTTATCTTCAAGAAACCTACACCACCTTGTTATATCATAAAACGCAGTCAAATTGTTTACCTCTGGGGATGGTAGGAGTGGGTGAAGTACAATGCACTCCGGCGGACACTCCCTACAGCCTTCTCTTACTTCAGGCGGCTTCTTGCCTCCTTCTCCTTCGTCGTCGTTTTGTGCAAAGTCGCTGCTGTCACTGTGGTTGGTCTCATAAGTGCTGTCATAGGTGCTGTCGTAATCTGAGGAAGCTAAAATGCGCTCATCTAGAAAGGGGATTACACAGAATCAGAAATGTCCTGCTCTATGTCTTAGCTAGCATTTGTGGTTTGACTGTTTCCACGAGATGTTTCTTGGGCAGTACCTGGATGCGGTATTCTGTGTGGTTTACTGCCTGATTCTACTCCATTGATTAGTCGATTGGTGAACGGCCTGCCACAGCTAAATATGAAAACACAGAGATATATCTGCTTAGATTTTATATTTAGCTTAGGAGAGCATAACTGCCTGTGCTTTACCTGCCGCAGAGTGATGGAGGTCGCCAGTGAATGGTGGTGGAGCTTGGTGCACTCTGGCTGTGAGTTAAGGCTCTGTGATGGCTCTTGGGGGCAACAGACACAGGAACCTGCTCTGTCAGTGGCCTCACCAGCTCAGGAAGCTGAACTAAACACGTTTTTATCGTCGGACTGGAGATGGGCGTTCCCTGGACAGGAGGAGATGGACACGGAGAGCCAAGAGGTGATGCGTTGGAAGGAGAGAAACCTGGGGAAAAAAAAGATTTGTTTCGCAGGTTAAATGGAGTCATTGAAAAAAAGAGCTCAAAGGGCCAGAATTGTTCACAGACCTGGTCTTCCCAGTGATTTGCTGTAGAGGTGGTTGGAAGTGGCAGAGGCAGCAGAGGAGGCTGACATGGAGCGGCTCTTTGAGATAGTTATCATCAGTGGATTGTTCCAGGAATCACCGCTTTGATGAGACAATTCAATCAGATCCAGAAGTCAAAGTAATCCTGTCTTGTTCAAAGTGGTGAGGGGATTACCTGTCCACAGTGTGTTTGATGCTGGCTGAGCGATCTCGCCGTACGGGGCCCGGCTCGATGGTGGGCAGCCCTGTTGCTGATGTGGTTGTGGTCCAGGTGGATGAAATTCTTCTCAGCAATCCTGGGGGCAGACTCCTTCTGAGACGCTGCAGGGCAAATAAACAGGTGCAAGTTAACACTTTGTATTATATTCCTGCAACTGTTTCACAGGAGTACAAACTTTAGTGGTATTTTAAAGTCAAATCAAAAGCATACAGAGTTAATATTTTTTAGATAAAAACATTCACTCTGATGAGTTCCCCTGTCCCTCCACCTTGTTAGGGAATGTATGCGGTGAAGCACAGTGTTAGTACTTCACTTGGGACCTTAGCTGGAACCTGCTTTGGTCAGATAAAACTAACAGTGACAAAGACTCCTGCTGCACCTGGTGTCAAACAACAACTGTGCTAAGTATTGTGGAAGGTTTGTAATGCTGTTGATCTCTTTCAAAGAACCTTGTTATAATGCATAGCCTCATAAACTCTTTGAGACAGCAGTACATTTTTTATTAAATTCTGGTGACCCCTGGCAGAAAACTAAAAATGGATTTCAGGATTGTCAACAGGATAATAACTCAAAACATAAGGCAATATAAACACAAACAGAAACCAAACTTTGTTCCATGGCTATGCTAGCCCCAAGACTTAGTCCTAAAGAAATTGAAAGAGAAGAGAGAATTAGTGACTAGCCAGGACTCTATAACCTAGACAGATTGTGCAAAGAGGAATGTTCAACCACCCCTCGCTCTGTATACTCCCACCTTGTGAAATGTTTAGAAATGGTATAAACCAGGCCAAAGCCCTATCTAAATGTAATACAAACAAAGAGACAGACCACAATGTTCCTGTTTAAGGATACGTTTGTCTCTGGTACGCAAACAGTCCAAGCAGTGGCAGAAATATAAAGGAACCCCTGCAGTGCAAAGTGCTGTTATGAAAAGTTAACACAGGACTACGCAAGAAAGGAAACATGATTTTTCCCAGATGGAAAAATCATGTTTTAAAACATTGGAATCCTAGTTGACAAAACATTGGAATCCTAGTTTCTCCCTTGTGTCAGCAAAACCAAAAGAATCAAGCTCAGACTTAAATCATAAATAAATAAGCTAAACTGAATCTACAAAAACTTGTAAAAATAGAATAAATGAAGATTTTGGACTATCAGACTTGTCTCTGGTATTTTGAATGCACTGGGGCAGACTTGTAGACGGAAAAACACAATAACTTGCTTTTCCATCGCAGTAGATTTTGGTTATGGTGTTAAACCCTACAATGAACATTATATTCAGCCTTCACCAATGCAGTGCTGTCATTTTGTGGATTTTGTGATTTTCGTCAGACCAAAGATATGCACATTTGATGTAGGCAGCAGAAGAGGTTGCATTTCTACACATGTGAAGAAATTCAGATTTCTTCACATGTGTTAAGTCTTATTTGCAAAGCTCCAATGTAACACAAAAAGCTTACAGTTGCATGCTTCTCTCTGTCTTCATGCAGCAGGTTTTCTTATGCTTCTTATTTCTAAAAGTGGAACAGGAAGCAAGGCTTAAAGGAGGTGACCCTGAGCTATTCCTATGGTAACACAGCTTTGGGCCTGATTTCATGGAGGATGTCCCATGATGCATGCAGACTGTGTCAGTCTGTTTTATCAATTTCCCATCGCAAATATTATGGGTCTGGAGTTTTTCTTTTGTTTGTCTCTTTGAGCTGATTTGTCAAACATACAGGGGGGTGAACATGTCTTTCATGCTACATCTACTGCTGTTTTATCACCTTTTTATCATTTAAACTGAATTCTACCTCTCAAAATTTGCCCGCTAAAACTATTGTCGTGAATTGTTGTCACTACACTAGTAACCTGAAGCATGATTTAAGTCTCCACTACTCATCCACGAACTGGGTCTTTTTTCTTTTGCTAATTCTCTGCTGCAAAATAGGTCGATCTGAGTCAGACTGGACAGAGAGCCCCTCTGAACATCCATTTTGAAGTGTTGCCACATATTCTATATTGGATTTAGGTCTCAACTTTGAATGGGCCATTTTAACATATAATTATGTTTTTAATCAATCATTTCCTTTGGAAGCTTGGGTGTATGTTTTGGGTTGGTATCGTGCTGGAAGGTGAACATCAACAACAGTCTTAACTTTTTTGACAACTTCGAACAAGTTTTCCTCCAAAATTGCTTGATATTTGGCTCAATTTCTTCCAAAATTACCAGCGACCTTTTGGCTGCTTTTCTGATTATATAATATAACGCTTTGCAAGATTTAGTTTATGAAATATCTGAAGATTTAGATCTTTGTGAAAGCAAGTCAATCATGTTTTTTTTTTTCTTTACATTGCTTCTAAGATATAAACAGAAACTTTCCACATGAAGAGAAGACATATCCACACTATTGGGACTATTTTTAGTGATTTTCATGGGGTAATAAAGTCATCTGACAATTTTGATTGTGTCTTTTTCAATAAGGGTCGTTGTCATATGCAGTCCCATCTCCATCTTACATAAACAAACATCGCAGTTCATGTTGATCTCCCACAGAGGGAGGGACATAAAAACACATTTTCACTGAAGCTCTTTAAATGTGTACGTATGCAGTTTTAAATTGACACTTATTGTCACTATGACTACACAAAACAGACCAGGGTGTATTTTCTCATTTATTGTGATGGAATGCAAAAGAAAAAAATTCTTCATGTCCCCTGGCAAAGTAGTGATAGAATGTAAGAAAATTTTAAAAAACTCAAGTGGTGTGAATGGTTTTGAGAAGCCTCTGTACATTTATACATGAGAAAAGCTCCTCAAAATTACTCTCTAGCCTCATATTACTTTGGTTTCGTGATAAAGATGACCAGATTGTCAAATCCCCCTCTCTGATCATTGAAATTCAGTCCATGTACTAAACATTTCAGTGCACTAAAGCAGGTTTAAAGCAGCTACTCACTTTCCAGGTATCCTGTATTACATCACACGCTTTATTTAGTTTTCTTTCGGCCTTGAACACCTGCTTACAGTCTGAAGCACTGGCCTTGTCAAACATTATTAAGCCATCCAGAGGATTTTGGGTCATTAGAACCACATTAACCGTGCAATACAGTGAAGTTTGAGTGTAATTTATACAGGGATGGGGTACACCTGGATCAAACCCAAAGTGCCAAAGATTCTATCCTCAGGTTTTATGTCTAGATACCAGCACCTGAACACAGATGTTGTTTTGTAGTTGTTTTTTGGTTGAGGCATCGCATGTTTGAACAATTACTCTGTCTGGCTTTGAATACTGTGCAAATGGTTGCTTTTACTCTTATACTTCTGGAGAGTTATTATGTCTGGTAACTGGCAGTACCATATGATTTTTACAAATAGGAGAAGCTGATTAGAAACTCAAAATGTCAAATAATACCTGAATACAATGACCCCAAATCCCAAAAGAGTTGAAAAGGAGGTTTCACAGATCCAGGAAGAGACAGAGGAAGTTCAAATAATCTCTTCCACCAATCATAATGGGCAAAGTTCATCTCCCTGACAACAACATCTCTTTGCCTGGCTTGCCAGCAATTTAAGGAGGAGCAATGAAAGCAAATGAGGTGGATTGGCAGTGTTAAATTGAATTGAATTGAGTTGTTTAGTTACAGCTTCACAAATTTAGTCTCATCTCTAAGGTAAACATGCTAATCAAATCACATAAACTCAAGGCATGCCTGTGGTCTTGCAGATAACATCTCTCACTGTACGTATCTGATACAGTTTGTTATGATATAAACAAAGTCAACTATAGCTGCTGATTTATTACTTAGCAACTAGTAGAAAGTCAACAAACAGTAGAAAAGTCTAGAAAATAATAAATTAGCTGGAACAACAAATGATGATCTCAAAGTTCAAATAAGAAAACGGACAGGAGCAGGCGAGGGGATGACAGATGAATAAACAAATGGATGAAAACATGAAAACAAGCTTGATGACATGTGACTGTTAACTTGCTGCTCTCTCGAGTAACAAAATAAAACCAGCTTATTCAACAGATATGTGCAGTGAGGATTTATTTGAAGGTTTCTCACCATGGATACATTCACTCTTGTTTATTCTTCTTCTTATCCTTTTTTTTTTGTTACTACAACAGGATAATTCTCATCCGATTGCCAATCAGAGCTGCATGCATTTCTGATTTCCAACCAGCTACAAAAATCTTTTTTATAGATATATATTTTGGCAGCTCACCATAAAACATGAGACACATACTGCTGTAACAGGGCAAAAATTAAGATAGGAAAATCAGCTATTTTACTGAAAATAAAAAATTTGCAAATTTTGATGAGCCCTAAGCCCTGACTTTGGGCAACTACTTCTACCAAGCTTTTACAATAACTAGCAATCAGTGTATCACTGTGGAGCAATTTTGGCCTTATCTTCTCTGCAGAATTGCTTCATTTCAGTCTTATCTTTGATCATGCAGTGACTGCTTCAGTACCTGCCAAATAATATTAATTGGTTATAGGTTCTTTGACTTAGACTGCTGACAATAAACAAACAATGCTTTACACAAATCTCACATTGGTTCCAAAATCAGACAGTTTCTGTTCTTTATTTTTTTTTATTGGTTTGTTTATTTGTTTCAGGAAAATTACTCATTTGTAACTGTGATATCTTAAGAAGTCAGATATTAACCTTCGGGATGGCCAATCTCTCGGGTCTTTCCGGCCCATCCTCTGAGTCGGAACAGACGTGGGGTTCTGTGGGGATGCGGGGCCGATGGAGAGGCTGGATGTTGATCTGGGTGCTGAGGAGGTTGCTGACAGCTTTCAGAGAGCTGCAGGTGTTTGGAGGCAGGGAGGGGTCGGCCAGCAGGTCTGAGATCATACCATGGGCTTCTCCCATCACCGCAATGTCCACCACCACGCTGGTGCCCAAGGACTGGAAGGAAGAGAAAAAAACAAGTTGTTTGATGCTTGTTTAGGTCATGAAAGGCAATGAGTTTATCTGCAAACTGAATCAGAGTGTCTGTGTGTGTTTGTCTTCAACCAGTCCAACAGGCACAGTTGTATCTTGCTTATTGTGTCATTATATGGTAGCGACAGGTTAATGAAGAACAAATGAAGACAGCATGTCATGAAGTTCTGCAGGAGTTTGATTCACATGTGTTGAACCAGGGAAACATCTAAAACAGGCATATTTTCGGCTTTATATCATGGCCAGTGGTGTCCAAAGACTAAGCTGTCAACTAATATATATATATATATAGATAGATATATATATATATATATATATATATATATATATATATATATAGATATATATATTATATAGATATATATATATCTATATATCTATATATATATCTATATATATATCTATATATAGATATATATAGATATATAGATATATATATCTATATATCTATATATCTATATATATATCTATATATATCTATATATATATATATATATCTATATATATATATATAATATTTTTTTTTTTTTTTTTTTTTTTTTTCAGAACACACACAGTGTGATGTCGCCTCTGTTCCCCAAAGATTCATTGTAGCATCATGAGCATGAACTCCACTCCTCTGTCTCCCTCTGGTGTTAAAGCAGAGTGTGGAAATCAAAGAGGATCTAAAAAGTGAATGTAGAAAATGCCAAAAAGTTGGGCACATCAGAAAATAGAAGTTATCAAGATAACAAAAGATTTAAATCAGTGTTTCTCAATTCTGGTCAACTGCCCTGGATATTTAACATGCACCTCTGCTCCTGAATATCTGCTTCAAATGACTGAATGACCTCCTTTACGTGCCATCAAGTGTTATGAGTCCTTTTAGTCACCCACGTATTTAAGTCAGGCATGTGGCAAAAAGGAAACACCTAAAACATTCAGGGCAGTGGTGCCTGAGGACCAGAAGTTAGAAAGACTGCCTGAGATTCATCAGTGATGAATAAATCTGAGGTTAAATATAATAAATCTAAAATATAATAAATCATGGTCATATGCATCAGATGTTTTTTTCTGAAGGCATATTTTTATTTGTATAATAATTGTGTTTACTTATGGTGGTGTCTTTGAGTAAGTCCAACACTACAGCTGTAATTACTAGTTGTGTACAATCAATAATTAGCAATTACTTGTGTCTTGGCCATCAATCTCAAATGCGAGGTGAGGATGTCTTCTAATCGGAGTATGTGGATTGTGTTGCAGACATAAAAAGTTTCGTTTTTGATTGATGAAATGAGATATGAAATGACCATTAAGATCCTCTTTAAATTGGGCAATTTTCAAGAACTTGTAGCTATACATATAACTAGTCTCCTAAGAACTTTCAATTATTACTCACTTATTACAATTTTTTATGACGCAATGCTTTCTACATTAAGTCACATTAAATTTGCTTTCTGTCAACCATTACATGGAAGGCAAATAAAGTAAAAATAGATCAGAATCAGCTGAAGTTAGCTCTGACAGTTCAGAGTCTCACTAAACTGGAGATTAGAAATCAATTACAAAACTTTGATCGGTACACCTAGACAAGAACTGTTTATATGTATTTTAAAAAACTATAAAAACAAAAGCTTTAATCAATTACTGAAAATGTTCACTTATTTATCTAGACTGAAAAGGGTACCATGCCAAGCTTATAAAACTCAGAAATCAAAGCCTGTTTTCCTCTCTCCACTTCTGCTCTCTTCCTGTATCTCTCTGCCGCTCTGCGCCGGCTTTTGAAGCGAGTGCGCTCACATGATCAGTACATCCATAAGCCTCCGATCTCCCATCTGTCTGCCCCCCCGAGGGTACGACGCTCAGCAACTGGCAACAGTATCTGCTCTTGTCACTTGCTTTGTACGAGCTCCAAACTTTTCCACTGCCTTTGTAATGCCAGTTGTAATTTTTTTTTTTTTTCCCTCTCAAATTGCAAGTTGGGTACCTCCTGTCACGTCCCTGTAAAGCATAAAAATTGTGTGAAGAGAAGCAAAAAGGAGACACAGAAAGGATTGAACAACCAGAACCGTCCAAAGTTTCTCCAGACAAGACGAGGCATAATTCTCCAAGTTACCTTCCACATGCAGGCTGGACTAGCTTTTCAAATCTATAATCTGATGCTGGAACATTTCTTGGAAAAGACAGTGGATGGGTCACCTCAACCCGAACAAAATCCATTAGACCACTCCAGAGCTTTATGACATCCTGCTATTGTGACATTCACCTATTACCTGGCAGTAATGGATTCTCTGCAGCTAATGTCATAGAGGAAGTCGCATACTAGGATGAATTTATGTGTGTCTATAGACACCCGCCCGCTCACGCTCGAAGATTTGGGTGTTGCCACTGTTTTACAACACTTTTCCTGTTTTCAGATGTTACGCTGCCCCATTTTTAACATCTAAATCAGCCTGTAGTAGGAGTGTGTCCCTTTTAGTCAGTGCTTTCAGAACAACATACAGCTGACTGAGAGCCACCGAGCGCTGCTCTGATAGTCACAGTGAAGAGACAAGGCAAGGGAGAAGGTTATTGATTCCTCCCAGCATAGAGACCCACAGGATACAGCAGGGGGAGTGATAGTCAATTAGTGAATCAACAGTGGGAGCTGCGTGTGTTTGTGTGCACGCACAGGCATGAATGTACCAGGAGTGCCTCTTGGCATCAGTCTGTTAGGCTTTCAGGGTAATACAGTGCATGCTGCATGCAGAAAGATGGGTCATAATCCCACAACAGAGGCGGTGCACTGTAACAGAAGACAATATCAAACCCTGGCCTCTGATGTGCATAGATAAAGGAAATAAGATTTGTGTATATCAGGCTACTAAGAATAGAACAGCTGATTTGGATCTTTTGTCAAGCTACAGCAACATCAGGAGGTACAACAGAGATGATTTACAGTAGAGTCAGTGTTTTCCTGTCAAACTAGTACAGACTGAGAGTCTCAAAAGGTAATGAAAAGAGAAGCATCTATTTTGAATAAAAATCGAAAATCTGTCAGCTGTTTTAGATTATATTTAATTTTAAAAAGTGGAATGTTATTATTCCATAAATAAAAGGTTATTATAAATCTTCTCAATAATCACTAAAAAAAATCTGTTAAATCCCTCACTGTTACTATTGCTGCTTTTAATACGTTTCCACTGGCATTTTGATAGGTTTTTGAAGATGAGCGCCAAGTATTTAAGGTTGGAAAACCTCCTTGCAGCCATCCTCATATCTAGGTCTGTCCACGGATTCTCTGTCTGATTCGAGAAATGTCTCTGACTGGGCTCCTCCAAAAGGTTAAAATTACTTCCAGTTAAAAGAAATATGTCAGTAAAATTCAAATGTTACTTTAAACCTGAACATCTCATTGTTCTCTTGACAACAGCCCATAAATTCCTTGAGGTTCAAGTCAGGGAAGATGGCTGACCAATGAAGGACAGGAACGCCACAGTCATTGAAGCAGCTTTTAGTACCAATGGCTGTGTGAGCAGGTACCAAGTCCTGCTGGAAAATATAATCAGCTTCTCCATACAGTTTGTCAGCAGAGAGAAGCATGAAGCACCCTAAGATTTTCTGGTGGTTGGCTGCATTGATTGTTGACAGCGATTGTTGACAATTATGCCTGTTTCTCACAGGTGCAATTGACCTAAAATAGCACACACACACCCTCATAAGACAAACTTCTTAACAAACACCAGCAGATGATATGGCACCCCAAACCATCACCGACTGTGGAAACTTCACACTGGACTGAAAAGCTATGTGGATTCTGTGCCTCCCCACTCTTCCTCCAAACCCTGGGACTTTGATTTCCAAATGAAATTAAGAACCGACTTCATTCTGAGACCAGGACTCTGCACTACAGTCTAGTTCCTTTTCTCCTTAGCTCATGCTCAGACGCCTCTGACATGGCCAAGGACTAGTTTTGACCACAATGAAAATGTTTGATTTTGAACCAGAAGTGCGCAACTTCAGTGCAGATCTAATAGAGACAGGAAAAAAATCCCCTTACTTTAGCACCAAGTGTAACCAGACGCTAACTTTAGCATTGCAAACAGAAAACATTCAGCCAGCCGTTGTTTGTCACAAACTCTGTCTTGTCTGCCACTCTATCACTGATTAATTTTTCTAAATTAGATCAATTATGCAGAGATAATTGTTTTCTTTTTTTTTTAGCAGATGACAAGCTGAGAACTAATTCACATGCTACTTCAAAATAAAATATCAAATATTTACTTCTTGATATCACTTTGACAAACATGTGTTGCTTTATCCTAAGATATTAAGCATTTGAAATGTTTCTTAGACTGACAAAATGCCTTGTATAGGGTGTTTCTGTATTATCCGTCACCACTGAACTGAACTATTAACTGCAGTGAATCCTGGCTCAGACTCTTAAGAAAGAAAAAAAAAACTTTTGTTCAGGGTTAGTATAGGACATTACCCAACAATCTTTAAAAGCCATTCAATAGTGGAGATAAAACAATCGCCTCTCACTGTGATATGAAGCCCTATTAATTGAGCGTAATAATAATCATAATATTGATAATCAACTTTAGTTAACTATACAAAAACCACATTTAGATGTTCTAATTTTGCAAGTGACCTGGCAAAACAACAGCGTGGCTTACAAGTGTCAGCATTTACATTAATGCAGTGACATATATTCATTTAGTCTTAAAAGTACGAAAGCACAAAATAATAAACTCAGACAATAAAAACATGACTATCAAAAGCAATTGCAAATTCAAGTGTATTGGTCCTGAGCTTCTTCTCACACCACTATGTCTTCAGCTGAAAATTGGGGGTGATGTAAATATACATTTTGAGATCTGTACCTGTCCACTGGGGTGTGTCAGGACTTTCTGCAGATGTTTCTATGCACCCGACTATGTGCTACTTTTTGAGAAATATTCTATGAGTATTCTATGACTGTATTTCTGAATACTATGTCGCTT